ATATTTAAAGAGGCATGTGACAAAATATGTGCAGACCATATAGTAATTATACTGCTGAACAGCCTGATATTTAAATTGTGTCTCCCTGTAGTGTTGTATTTTATTTGTATGATTTGTGTTTTTATCACTTGTTATTTTTAGAAGACCTCAAAAATAAGTTCATCATTAGGTCCATAGGTATACACATAGCCACAGAACATTAGGTAGGGAGGTGGATGTTGCAGATGAGTTAATACAGTCAGTGACAATACTGAATCACTTGGTATGCATGGGGGCTACTCTGACATTTCAGGTGGAGGGGAGCTCGAAAATGCATGTAAAATGTTCATAGCCTCAGCTGTTCGTAGCCACATCTGCTGACTCTTCTGACAAAATAAGTTACTGTATTTACTGCATTAAGTTCACTGGAGCCAAAACTTTTCTGCCAGGGGAAATACGATTCCACTCCAGCACATGCAACCTTTTTAGCATCATTGATGAGCTCTGTCACTGTTCTATGCTTGCTTCCAGGTTGCTGATTAAAAATACAGAAGCATCAGGCCTAGGACAGGTCGTCTTTGTCATCTGTTTCCTAAACTCTGTCAGTTTGCCAGTCCTAATTCCATTTAATGTGGGCTTTATTGATGGGGTTCACCGAAGCAAGCAACAGAGAAGGGCAACAGGGATGATGAGTGGTATGAAGGGGCTTCCATTTGAGGAGAGACTAAAGAGGCCTGTCCCATTCAGTTTAGAAGAGAGATACTTGCAGGGGGAACATAAGGTTTTTACAAAATACTAAATGGTGTAGAATCAATAGGGATTTATTATTTACTGTCTTTTGCCATACAAGAATGAGGGGTTACAACATAAAACTAGTAGGCTGTAAGTTTAAAGCAAACACAAGGAAGTTGTTTTTTTTTATACGGGGTGTCATTAAAAGCTTTGGACTTGTTGCCACCAGATGTGGTGGAAGCTGACAGTTTAGCCAGATCCAGAAAGGGATTGGACACAGTCTTGGAGGAAGGGTCCCCAGTAGCCATCAAACCTGAGAGTTATTGATACAGCCTCTGGATTAGAACTTCCTAGATGTTAAATGCTGGAGGCTCCAAGTGGGAGAGGAACAGTGGGAAAAGACCTAGTCAGACCTGGTTCACTCTTCCTTTCAACATCCACTCTCTGCTGCTGTGTGATGCAGGAGGCTGGGCAAGATGGACTTAACGATCTGAGCCAGTAAAAGGCAATTCTTACTTTTTTATGCTGACTGGTTCACCAGAATACCTTGCTAGACCAAGTCACGTGCCTGGTAGTCTCAGAGATGGGTTTGATCTGTCACATTTAGCAGACTTGTGCTGTTTTAAATTATTTTTCAGACTGATGATGAAGAAGAGACTTTTGTGCTGGAGGATCCCTCGCTCTTGAACATAGATAATATCGACACACACTCTTACGACACGTCTTCAGTGGCGAGCTCCGACAGTGGAGACCGGGCACACATGAAAAGGTAGCTGTTCCTGTCAGCAAGACTTCCCTTTCCTTCCTTTGAGATTTGAGAGAGTGTGTGTCCTGATAGTGAGCAGCACAGACACATTTTTTACAGCCCCCCATACTGCTGCATCTTCCAGCTGGATACTCCAACCTGCTCTGTCTCCTCAGCAGTCTGATTTTATCCAATGGGGACAAGTGGATGGTGACAGAATCGCAGATTAGAAATGTTTGAAGCACCTGCTGATCCAGTGGGGGACAACTGCTTGGAAGTACAGCCCAGAGTTTGCGTGTGAAAAGCTTCCGTGGTCCTAGAACTGTTTTTGTGCTCAGACTTTTCAGTATATGTTGCATGGCAATAATAGGGAAAGTTTATTGGAATTGGGATTGTGTTGGTGGACAGGGAAGGAACCTGACTGGAAATAATACTTCTTTCTTACCTGGCTGGTGTGAATCTCGCCTTGAGAAGGAGAATAGTCTGATCTATCAGAGTCCCACACAAAAGCAAACCCTATAGCCAGTGCCAGAAAGGGATGCTGTGGAGGATGCAGATAAAATAGGATTTGGTGGAATGAAACTGTTCCTGGTGGATCCAGCAGAAAAAAAGAGGCCTTGGTTTGTTTGAGGGGTCAGTGGACATTGCTCTGGGCTGTGAAAACCTTTGCAAAACTATGCACCAGAATTTAGACTGTCATGATTTATTTTAAAAAAGGTCTTTACAACCTGCCAAATGTGAGCAGTTTGACTGATGTGTCTCTGTTTCTCCAAGCAGCCTGCACCAGTATTTTTTAAATAATGTAAATGGCTTCTGCTCTTCTTAATGATGGCTTAGAGGGTAACGCTGTTACTTATTTCCCCGCTGCCTGTTTTTATAGAATTGCTCCACAATTTTAGCACATCTAGTCCTGCAATTCCAGTCCATTCGCACATGCTGTAAGTTCCACCTGCCTTTGATAACTTTCTCAACGTGCCGGTGTTGGGTAGCGTATCAAACATTTTCAACTTGGGGAAACATACAAGGATCTGAATCCAGAGCCCCATAATACAAGGCAGTGTTCCAGTTAGCTTTCATGATTCAAAACATAAACGTAAAATTTAATTAAAAAAAATAGAAGGGTGTCATTGAATTGAATTCACATAAAGCTGTCATGATTTTTTTAGTTTCTTTAGGGTAGTGCCAGAGAAACAAAGTCTTGCTTCAGGCTTTATGCTCAGCTAACTGCTATTTACGTGGGCCCTAGACAATAACATCAACTGACAATAAAGAGCTTGGCTAAATGGAAACCTAACTTCAGGCTTTTAAGTGTACACATTCTTCTAAATGCATTGCCTGAGTTTCAGATTCCAAACCTCACTCCGAATTGTGTGGAATGCACCACTGGGGCAGTGTATGGTGAATGAAACCATTGCAGCCTCTGGGGGATTTTTTCCTGTACATTTAGATGTGGGAATTTTATTCTCCCACAGTATTTGTATTTTATTTTATTTTATTAATTCTTTTCTTTAGAAAGAAAAGGCTCCCTGATTCTTTTTCTCTCCATGGATCAGTCATACGACTTTCACTTCTGAAAGGAATTTCTGCCCAAATAGTTTCTGCTGCAGTAAGTATCCCCGCCCCACCTCCCCCCAGCCCCGCTTTTACTCCATAAGCATTGAATTTGTTACTGTGAACAGGAATGGGTGTATAAATTACTTTTTCTCACATACTGCAAGAGTTCTGGTTATGTGAAGTGGTAGTTATGCTAAGCTATGGTTCTACAAAGGATCTTGGGAGTAGCATTGGGAGTAGCAGGCTTCACTGAGCTTTGAGTGACCTGATAAAAGAGATGGTGAGCAAAAAACACTGATTCAAGGAGAATAGGAAAAATAATAGTAGCTGAAGAACTTGAGAAGTATAAGGTAAGAACTTGCTGGTAAAGTAGGGATAATAAGAGGTGAGCTGCAGGTCATAGAATCACAGAAAATGGGGGTTGGAAGGGATCTTAGGAAGTTACATCTAGTCCAACCCCTGCTCAAAGCAGGACCATCCCCAGCTCGGTAGGGGGTGAGCTGCAAGGTTCTGTACTTGGCAAGGAGGCAAATAAAAAAGGGACATCTAGACAGAGAGGGCAGAACAGGCATAGCATGTGGGGGCATCTTGGCCATCAGTAAGCTGCTGCAAAACTTGCCATCTCTAGGGGAGTATGGGATGCAGGCACCATGTCGTTACTATTAGTTCTGGGCAATTTAGTTGAGCTGGACTGCTTGCTACGCAGACCAACTGGCGCACTGTCTTAAGAGATCTCTGAGCTTTTGCCACCGAACACCAATTGAGAGTCGTTCTTTCTGTGTTGCCCCCAGGCTCTAGGAGGCTGGTTGCAGGCAGTGGCCTCAGAGTTCATGGAGCAGCCTGAGATCACCAAGAGAGGGAGGAGCCTGGGTGGGAAAACTCTTGGACCCATGCCTTAGAACAAGATATACCACACCCCTGAATATAATATGCACCCTGATTTTTACAGACAGCTTACTGATTGTGGGGGTGAGGGGAGGGAACATTCTTACTCTGCAGGACAGGTAAATAACAAATCTAGTGTGCTGAATCAGGAGCTGTGCTGCAGCTCTGCCCCATGTGCTGGCTCCAGAGCCACATCCAGGTTGGACCCAGTATCCTCAGAGCTGTGTATCTGGTCTGCCCCCACATGCTGACTCCAGGGTCACATGTGCTGGTTTGAACTCAGCAGCCTGGGTCTGGCCGCATACCAGCCCTATGCACTGGCCTGACCCAGTGTATGGTGGGAAGCTCCTTTTGATACTTCCTTCCTACTAGACATTGAGTTGTTGAGGACTAGTCATGGAGTGTGATGATCCAACTGGTTACATATCCACTTGACAGTACTTTCATCTAGTCTGTATTTCCCACGAGAAACCATGATTTTTCTCTCAAAGTAAAGATGGTCACGCCAGGACAAAAATAACTTGGGAACAATTAGGGTTAAATCACTCCCAGAAGAAACCAATGTCTGTTTATGTTCTCTTCTGAGAGAAGCCATTATGCAATCCTCCAGCATCCCAGGGTGCTTTGCTCCTTCCCACCCCCCTGAGCTCCACTCAGGTCCAGAAATTTGGTTGGGGGTGGGGGTAGCGGTGGCAGTGTTTTAATTGCCATGATTCCCAGAACTGAGGCAGTTAACTTTGCCACCGTTCCACTCCCTCCCCTCAGCCATATTTTTGAACCTGTGGGGATCCCTTTTTCCTCAGTTGTAATGTGCATCCCAATTTTTGCCTGCTGGTTTTGGGGAAAATGTACAGGTTATGTGTGCAAGAAGATATGGTAGTAAATACAATCACTATTTGCTAAGGGGAAGAGGCTCATGTATGAGGTTTTATGTGGTCTGTTTTGTCCTGTGTGGCTTCTTACCTCTGATCTATACCTATGAGTTTAACCTATGGTGCATTGGGTCAGTATGGAGGGCTCCTGGCTGAAGGGAAGTGATGTGGAAGCCACATCTTGATATGTCGTCTTTGGTGAAACAAGGGAACCTGTACTTCAGTCCCTAGGTCTTGGATAATTATTCAAGAATGCCTTAACCATTTAAGATGGATGAAAGGGGAAGCTTCCCTCAGGATGGTATTGATAGTCAGGTGAGGTGGGCTTAAAGAATCAGGTTTGCATTTGAGAGCTTGAGATGGGTGGAGGGGAGAAGATGTGAGCTGTTGAATTTTGCCTCATTTTTCTTTATTAATAATGGCTCATTTGTCATTTTAGGACAAAGTGGATGCTGGCTTACCTACTGCCATAGTAAGTACTCCAAGAGTTTTAAACTGCAGTGTAGTAAATCTCCCTCTTATTACCTCTCTCTCTTTAAACTTAGTTCAGCCCTTTTACTTGTTAGTGCAATGTGGAAAGCAGAATCACAGCACTTTCACCTCTCATCCTGCTCCCTGGAGATGGAACATCTTCACACTTCAGATTCCCAAACATGCAGGGCACGAGAATGCGCAGCATAGGAAACCTGCTTTCTGGAGAAGGAGTTTTGCCCCTGCTCCTCACCCATGCTGCTGTTGTACTGAGAACGGGGTCAGCCTGGCCCTCCTATCCATGCTGTCTGCCTTTCTTGGGTCATGAAGGAGGTTCCACACTTAGACACTAGCCTCATGTTTTTTTCCCCATTGTAAGTGAAGTGACTGCTCAGTAATGTCCATGTCAAATTCCTCATTATTTTGTTTCAGTTTAAGTATTGATATACAGTATCCATGCAGATATCACAGGCTGCCCTGAAGGCAGTTCAATATTGTGACATAAAATAGGAACCATAAAGCTGGTGTGATCAGCACTAGCCTACCTCAGCTTTCATCTGTTAAAAGATCATTATTAAAGCTGATGTTGAAGTGGATGTTGTAGTTGTGATAGTCTAGGAAATGCATGAGAGGCAACAGTCTTTGAAAATGATATCTCACAAAAACTCCTGCATCTCACATTATTAAAACTGAAATGTAAGCCCTCAGTTTAGGAAACCGAGCTATAGCTGAAGAACAAGGAAACTCAGTTCAGGGCAGGCAGTATTTGGGCTGCTTAGTTTCCTTGTAAAATCTATGACCAAAAGCTTAGCATTTCATGAGGTTGGGGCAAACCAAGGTAAACTTGGTTAGCACATACTGTACATAACTACAGTGGACAAGCATATGGGGCAGCTTCTTTAAAGAAAAAAAAGCACCCTTAGGAATAGTATTTACAGAACAAAACAGAAAATTTGTGCCTCATTTATGGATACATGCATTTGTCCCAAGCTATCTCTGTACCATGCCACTCAAAATGTAATTTTGTTTAAAACCCCTTATTATTCCTGCTCCTTTTCATCAAACTCCAGGTGCATCTTTCCAGCACTAGAATCATAGAAAATGAGGGTTGGAAGGGACCTCAGGAGATTGCATTTAGTCCAACCTCCTGCTCCCAAGCAGGACCATCCCCAACTAGAACATTCCAGCCAGGGCTTTGTCGAGACACTGTCATCTTGCTTTTTACCTAGAAATTATTAATAGCAAGAGCAGATTCTGTATAAAGCATCTGTGCATTTTATGTAGCATAGAATTGTTGGAAACAGGATGATGGCCCAGCTTGGGAAAGCTTAGAGCACTATCATGTTCCTCAGTGAGGTTGATGGGAGCTTCTGTAATGGTTGCTATGAACTGGAGTGAGATCTCAGTGGGAATCTGAGAATCGCTGAACGCTTACTCAACACTACAAGGTTTGGGATCCTCACATGGTTAGGAAGAGCAGGGGATGCACTCAAGTACCAGGCTAAAAGGGTAGGATCAGACCCACAAAGAGGGAATCTGCTGTGTGACATTTTCGTCCTCCTCATCGTCTCTGAGTGCATTGAACTTCAAATGGCTAGAGAAAATGTAGGACTGTGAGCCATGACGGTCATTCACGTCTAAAATTTTACTGCATTAGAGTAGCAGTTTGGGGATGGGTGCGTGATATGCATTTCCTAATCATGTATAGCTGTTTTTTGTCTACAGGAAGCAGGGTCTGTAGCTTTTTAAAATGACGTTCCCTCTGCTGCTGATCTTTGGCCATCATGATAAAGATGCTGAAAAGGCTTATATGATGGATTTCTGACAGCTTGGCATTTTAAAATGTGAATGCTTTTTTTTTTTTCCGTGTTTTTTTTTTTTTTTCAGGCAGCATCAAATCTGATTGCTGTGGGGACTTCTCATGGATTGGCATTAATTTTCGGTAAGTTAGAAATACCCTTTTGTGCCTCTTCAGTGAAATTCAGAAAGGATTTTTTAATTCAAAAGAGGTTTAAAACACTGGTCTTTTCAGATCTTGTTTGTAGTTGAAAGGTGACTTCCTTTCAGTAAAGAAATCTTGAAAAATAACATCAAACATGACAAAACGGTTGGAAATACTGAGATGTTATTGCAGATGTCCATGAGACTATTTGACTACCTTTTCTTTTCCATTTTATAACAAGTTCTGATAGGTTGATGGGGGCTTACTTAACAAAACTCCATAGGCGTTTGGAACAGTTCTCATCTGGCTGTTGTGCCACTACTGTGAATGTAAATTCCTCTACTTATCTTATGGTGCTGTTATTCTAATGGAAATGAGTTTGATACAAATCCAGGTCATCTATGATGGATTCTAGCAGTTTTTTGTTTTTTTTTTTAAACAATGTGTTCCCTGGTATTGGATGGAACCTTGATTTAAATGTTGGAGGGCATATTTAAATGTTAAGATTATGAGACCTGGTTTATTCTTATTTATTGGACCCTCAAGGGGAAGAATATATTTTCTATTAAATATTTTCTGGGGTGGAGATAAAATTCAAGCTGCACAAGAATTAGTTCCTACTCCACACTTCATTGACTTGGACTCTAGGAAAAGCCAGTGGTAGAATGCCTCATGGCAAACTACTGTTAAACTGGAGAAGATGGGGTTTAATATACAAGACTTGGTGGGTGGACGAGGAGCAGGATAAAGGGGAGATAACCAATGTTGATAAGAGAAGCATTAGACTGGGTGGAAGTTGCTAGTGGCATTCCTCAAAGACCAGTCTTGTTTAATTTCATAAGTCCCTTTAGCCCAAATCAGTAGTGCAGTTAAAGTGGGGTGACTGGAGCAGCAGCAGCTATGGGTACTGACATGATGGGTGTAGAAAATAAGAGCTACAATTACTTCTGACTGGCCATGCTACCAGCCTCCAGGAGCTGTTGCTGCCCTGTTGTTGCTGCTGCACCAGATGCTGAGCTTCCTGGTTACGCCTAGGACCATGTGGATAAAACTTACTGATGGCACAAAGTTAGGAGGTATAGTCAATACAGAGGAGGATTGCAATATAGTACAGGAGGCACTGGATGGACCTTGACACTGGAGTAATAAGAACAGGATGAAATTCAAAATGCAAGACCAGGTAGCTTGGGAGCTAGTCAGAAATTTCTGCTATAAATTGGGAGGTCATTACTTGGAAGTAACTTGGGTGAGGGAAGACCTCAGATGTCTTAGTTAATCACAGGATGACCAATGTGATCTAGCTATGGAAAAGGATGTTGCGATCCTAATATCTCCTAAGAGAGGTATTTACAGCAGAGATGGAGAAGTATTAGTGCTGCTATATGAGGTCTTGATGTAAGACCTTATGTACAGAATATTTTGGACATAACAGGAATGATACAAGAAAGATAGATTGAAACTCAGAGGTGCAGAGAAGAACTACTAGGCTTCTTGTGGGAAACGGGTTCTTGGGTAACTAGACCACAGGACTGGGCACCAGCTGAGTTCTCATCCTCGCTGTCCTGCTTGCTAGCCTTGGGAATGACACTCCTTTGTGTCATAGGTGGGAGGTGGTGTTCTCCATACATCACCTTGCAGTTATAATGTCAGGATTAGTTCACATCTTAGTACTACATGAGTGAACAGTTGTGTTTTTGTTTTCTCTGTAATGGGGTGGGAAAGGGAGACCATAAAACAGGGAACATTTTTCTGGAGGAGAAACACTAAAAAGAAAATGATCGAAGCAGTGCTAAAAAATTTGGAACCTGGATATATCTATAAAAACAACTCTGCCAGTATTCCAGGCACATCTTGAACTGGGGTTTGGCAAAGTGGTATGTGTTTAAAGGCTGTTGTTCAGGCTCTCACCAACCCTACCACAGAGCTTGAAAATTTTTTGTTTTGGACCTTTAATGGTAGGTTATGCTACTACCTCAAGAGTTTCTCTCTTTACCATCATTTAAGCAGGGATGACAGCCTCCTCCAATCAAAGTGTCTCTTCCCTCACCATGACTGTGGGCTCGTAAGGCACATACGTGCCACTGCTATAAATAGTAAAGCACCATTAAACCAGATGCTGTTCTCTGGTGTGCTATAAAGCATTGCAGTGAAGCAAAGGTGATCCATCTGTTTTTCAGTGACAGATTTTTTTTTTTTCCCCTCCCATTATTTTCCACTATGGCTTTCTTGTGCTTGACTCTGAAACAGAGGCTGATAATATACTTAGATAACTGAGCTGAATCATGGAAGGCAATCACGTTTTCACCCCCATCCCTCCCTGATATTGATATCTATAGATGATATTAGTATAGCTATCAGTGTAATCTGTATTTCTATCATAGCTGTAGATATCAATATCTATAAAATATATAGAGTGTGTATGTGTGTAGTGGAAAATACCTACACAGGAGTCTTCTTTGGTGTTTCTTCTTTTTGTTGGCAGGTTTGACTAAGATGAGGCAAGATCTAATGGTTCAGACAAGATCCTTCAAAAATCAGTCAGGAGAAACTGAGATGTGTTCAGTAGACATCTGTGTGGTGTTTGGAACAAAGCTAGATGACTTTCCCATATGTATGATGAAATACTCTATCATCTTAATTACTGCTGTATAACAACATCTGCTAAACATCTTTCTAGTCGACAGATCCAGAAATATTGCACTATGCAACTTTTCACGCGTTAGCTGATCAAAATTCCAGACTATGTGACCAATACGTATTTATTAAATCTTTGAACTTCTAGGGAAAGGAAGTCAGTGCTGAACGAATATTTTAAGAGGTCAAAGGGTGCAACTGGAGGCCAATGAGGTTGACACCAATTCACGGCAAAATAATGGCAAAACAGAGGCCTGATTATTAAAGTTTTCAATGTTGTAATTATTATAGTAATATGGACTAGACATTGTCCTTCTTGGTTCAGTGACAGGGTTGCATGCCCGGTTGACAGTTAACTTAGCCAGTTCTCATACATTTATTGTTATGTTTTCAGAGAGTACTGCCTAGTACTTTGATTAAGAAAACCTGACTGATGGATCTAAACCAGAATGATTAACAAGGAATTGGCAAGTAAAGGTCTCGGAGAAACTCTCATCATGCCATTTTATCAACATGCTGTTTTTTTTTTCTAATATGAAAGTTGTTGGAGGATGAGAGAGCCATGCAGAGTACCTGGCATGCTGGGCACAGTTGGATGCATTTTCTAGCTAAATTTAAGGAAGGCAGCTGGCCACATGGTGCAGGCTGGGGAATGGTATACCAAAAAATGGTGACCCTGAAAAGTTCTTGGGGTCAGCAGTTGAACTCCCAATGCAATTGCTGGGTGTATACTACTGAGCAGGAGGAGCAGTATTTATTTTCACAACACTGTTGAGATGATTGCTGCCAAGCTATGTTCAGGCCCAGTATTCACACTAAAGTAAATGCCCCAGCAGTGGAAGAGGTACAAAAGAGCTACTGGAATATACCAAGGTCTAGAAAGCCTGCCTCAAAGTGAAAGAATTCACAGCTCAATTCCTCTCTTGTCTCTTCTTTTCTTTAGAGAGAAACTTGATCATTTACATTATCTTGTAGAAGGTATCAGATGCTAGAGGGCTTCTTTAATCTGGCAGGCAAAGTTGTTTCAAAGAAAAGAGCACAAAAAATTGAAGCCTGCAAACTTTAATGTGCTGCTTATAGTCATTTTGAACACTGAGTATAGTTACTCATTCACAGGTTATTAAGAACTGGGTAGATTCTCAATCAATCAGTGTCTTTAAGTTGGCTATTTTTCTAAAGGATACTCTGTCACTCAACAGTAAATGACTTCTCCAAGGCTTATCATCTGTCTTTTTTCAAACAGTCACCACTTTCATGTTTTGAATTGTTTCCGTCACTTTTTGTAGCACTTTTCTGCTTCTTCGGTATTCCTTTTGAAATCTGAATATCATATTTAAAGTGAGGTCAGAGCAGAGATTTACATAAATATTGCAGACAACAGCTCTGAAGCTGGGAGGAGAGAAGGAATTGTTTCAACAAGCACTGTATTATAGTGGATTAGGAATTAAAAGGCAGGGCCTCCTGCCTCTTCTGTCATGGTCTGTTTGTGTGATCTTAGGCAGATCACTTAACTGTTAAATGTGGTAATGACATTTGTGGCAGTGACATTTGCCTGTGTCAGGGGTGGTGGGTGATTCAGTGCAGAGTCGCTTAAGAGGAAGAAGTCAAAATACAACTTGTAGTATTATTCTTATTCTTGGCCTCCTGCTTGTTCCCAATGGGGACTTCTATGTAAAAGGGAGGAATTTTTTTATGAGACTTCCCCCTGACATCTCTGGCTGGTTTGGAGGTGTTCATCAACAATCTGGAAGACGGGATGGAGTGTGCCCTCAGCAAGCTTGCAAAATGACACCAAGCTGGGGGAGTTGTAAATATGCTGGAGGTTAGGGCTAGGATTCAGTGAGACAGACTGGAGCCTTGGAACAAAACAGAACTCATGAAGTTCGATAAGAGCAAATACAAGGTCCTGAACTTAGGACAGAGCAGTCCCATGCACTGGTACAGGCTGGGGGCTGACTGGCTGGACAGCAGCTCTTCAGAAAAGGACCTAGGGGTTACAGTGGACAAGATGCTGAATATGAACCAGCTGTGTGCCCTTGTTGCCGAGAAGGCTAACAACGTGCTGGGCTGCATTGGTAGGTGTGTTGCCAGCAGATGAAGGAAAGTGATTGTTTTCCTCTATTCAGCACTGGTGAGGCCACATCTGGAGAACTGTGTGCAGTTTTGGGCTGGCCACTACAGTAAAGATGTGGATAAATTGGAGAGAGTCCAGTGGAGGACAGTGAACCTCATTCAGGGGCTGGGGAACATGACTTGTTAGGAAAGGCTGAGGGAATTGGGTTTATTTAGTATGGAGAAGAGAAGACTGAGAGGAGATTTAATTGCAGCCTTCAACTCCCTGCAGGGTGGGTCCAAAGGGGATGAAGCTGGACAGTTTTCAGTAATGGCAGATGACAGAACAAGGAGCAATGGGCTCAAGTTGCAGCAAGGGAAGATTAGGTTGGATATTAGAAAAAACTTTCTCACTAGGAGTGTGGTGAAACCCTGGAACAGGTAACCTAGAGAGGTGGTGGAATCTCCACCCTTGGAGGTTTATAAAGCCCAGCTAGACAAAGCCTTGCCTAGGATTATATAGATGGGGATGGTTCTGCTTTGAGCAGGGGGCTAGACTAGATGACATCATGTCCCTTCCAACCCTCATTTTCTATGATTTTATGTTCCTGGGGCCAGAGCTCTTGCATTGTAAAGCACATGTTTCCTTGGGCTGTGGGGAGAGCATAAGCAACACTAAAACATATGCTCAGTGTGCAGTTTTTAAAAAGATCCCAGTGCCATCAAATTAAGATCCACTTTCCAAACCAAGGTCATGTATTAAACGTCAGTGAGACAAGTTTGGCGCTTTCAAACTCGATGGCTTTTGCTTAATTCTTCTTCGTATATTGTATAGCCAAGCCTATTATTGCTGCACCTTTTTTTACCTGTTGTAACTCAACAACTTAAACCCCCACCCCCCAAAAAAAACAACACAAAACAACCAAAAACAAAAACCCCACATCTCTAATTTTGTGTGGAGGCATTATAAGGGAAATTTCAGTCTAGAAAGCAGTAAAACCATTTTGTAACCTTAAATTTGTCTTGGTTGCTTTCTCTGTTTCTCTCCCAGCTATAAAATGCATGTTGGTGGTCAGTGCATGCTCATACTTTCTGTTTGAGTTCCGGAAGTGGAAAATTGGTCATGGGAGTGTCCGGGAAGAGAGATTCCCCCCCCAAAACAGTTGAGGGTGTATATCACTCCAGATATTGCTGTCCCACCTTTTTTCTTGCAGAGTTGAGGAAACGGCTTTTAAAAAATGAATTGTTTGCATAGCTATTTCCTCCTTGTGAAAAGGAGAACTGCTTGGATAAGATGTTGTAAGTCCTGCTGCTGAAGCTAATGATCTTGAAGTTGATGGAGATCTCGCCATACTCTTATAACTCAGATATGGTGTGGCCTTGTGACATAAGCATGAGACAGAGACTATATATAGGTCCTGAGGGTTACATTAATGCAAGAATTATTATGTGGGAAATTGTATCAATTCCACTACAGGTAACTATTTTCCTCAATTATATGTCCTGTTTGTTACATTGGGGCTTTTATTCCTTGGAATTCAGAACCTAGCATACTTTAGTCTGACCTTTGGGATTATATTTCAGATGTACACATCTGATATTCTGGGATAACCAGATATCAGAATGAGCTCTTTATCACCCATATCATATGCAGAATGGCTCCCAGGAAAAGTATTTTGTGTATGCACTTCTTAGACAGACCTAATGTTTTATATGCAAATTCAAGCAGCCAGTTATTGCTTCATTATGCTGTAATTTCATTCAGCTTTAAGCAACCATGAATTGCAAACCCCATTGTTCACAAGATGAATGATACATGGCTTACGCCCAGATGCAGGTGGTGGAAGGTAGTGTATAGTCATGATGATTTTGCATTTTAAAAATTAATCAAAACCCAGCTGGAGGAAATGCTGGGTTTTAAGAGCTTATATGGGAATCTGATGAACTTGCTCAGCACCTGTCACCATGCTGCCTTACTCCTTGTTTTCTCTGTAAAACTCTTTCTACCTTGTGAAGCCTATCCTGAGAGAGTATGGGTAGAGATTTTGAATATGTCTTCATTGCAGGCAACCCGGAGTTAGCCTTGTGCAGACTTAAATGGCTGCACTTCAAAATGTCTTGAGTTATCGTGACCTGGCTGGCACTGCACTTGCTTTTGTCACTAAGATTTATGGGAAAAGCATTCCCAGCTGAGCCCCTCTGATGCTTTCTCAGTGAATTGTGGGAGAAATTCTCTTTCCAGGGCATAGCAAGGGAGTGTTGGAAATGAGATGGAATTTGGGAGTAATTTTCAGACTGTGTCTTGGTATTCTTCCTGAGAGCGCCTGGGCAGGCTGCTGAGGACAGATCCTGCCAGCCTGTGCCCAGTATTGTGTTCGGGCTCTGTCTTGGGGTACACACTCGGGGCTGCTGAGATCCATCTACATGTTTGCAAGTTTGGGCACGGGTAGGGCTGCCACTAGTGGGCATGACTTATTTCTCAGTAGCATGCCCAGCTGCTTTCGGGAGGCTGTGCTGACATGACCTCAATGGCATAGGTGGGCAGGTTACCAGCCAGAGCAAAGTAACACTTGAGCCCTAGTCTATCCTTGAGCATGGGCTGACTGGCCTGGGTTTAAAGCACTGCTAAACTTGGGTAAGAGGGTGTCGTGTGGGTTAGAAGGCTTTTAACGACATCATAAGACAATGAGCCTAAGTGTAGTGAAGATGTCCTCATTCAGAGAATACAGTTCTTACCTAGGGGACTGAATTTATGATTACTAGGCCTGTGCGAAGCGGCTAGTATTTGCTTCAGATACGGATTTAGCCAATTCAGGGGACAGTGATTTGATTCGGTGATTTGAATCACTGTCCTGATTCGATTCAGCCGAATCCGATTCAGAGATTTGGCAGCGGCCGAATCGGCCAGGCCAGGCCCATCCCCTGCCCCTCTTCCAGCCTGGGAATGGCTGCCCCTTCCGCTGCAGCTCCCAGCTCTTGGAGAAAAAAAGCCCTGGCTCAGCAGGCGCTGCCAGGCGGGGGGCGATCCCTGCTGCCCTGCATTGCCCTATGCTGCATGGGGGGGCTCTACACGAGCCCCCGAACTCCCCCCTGCTCCCCCATCCCCCCACGGGTGCCTCACATGGGCCAGCTCTGGCCCTTTAAGAAGAAAAAAAAACCTGAAGAAATCCCTGGACGCACCACTCCAGCCAGCGGGGCGATCCCTGCTGTCCCCATGCCACTGGTGGGCTCTGCATGAGCCTCCGAATCCCTGAGGCTGCTGCAGGAGCGGTGAGTCCTGGGGCTTTTCTCCGCTTTTTTTTTTCCTAAAGGGCCAGAGCCCCAGCAGGCAAGGAGGTCATGGTGGGCTGAGGGAGTAGGGGGGGATCGAGGGGGCTTGTACAGAGCCCTCCATGCAGTGGGGATCATCCCCCAGCCAGCAGCACCCAGTGAGCACTGGGGTTTTTCTTTAAAGTACTGGGAGCTGTGGGGGACTAGGGGAGTGGGTGGTGGTCGGGGGGGCTGGCCGGGGTCCCCCCATGGTCCCCTCCCCCGCCCCTAGTACTTGCCAGCTCGGAGTGGCTGCAGCTCTGTGCTGCAGCCACCAGGGACTGCCCAAATCATCAAAGCTCTCCAAATATTTGCCGAAGCTTCGGAGAGCTTTGAATCTATTTGGACCTTTAAATTGGTCCAATTCGATTTGGATTCAGTAGCTGAATCTCCTCCGAATCGAACCACCACCTGAAGCTTCGCACAGCCCTAATGTTTACTAGCAGTCTGCATCTGCAATGGGGAAAGTCTGTCCATTTTTGCTGTTTTGCATCTGTAAGGCTTTTTACTGTGGAGATTTGTTCCAGTCTCCTACGGGACTTGAGTGTACAAGTCCCACTGGAAGGCAATGAAATTTATACTTCTCAATCTAAAGGCATTAGCCTTCAGTTTTCAAAAAATGTGTGGGTTGAAAATCCTCCCTTTGGATGATAAATGATATAGCAAATATACCCTCTACTGGGATTTCACACATCTGGTTGAATTCCCTCCCTTCTGTGTGCAGTGACTGACTATGCTGCTTGTGCCCTCCAGTAGTTAAACCAACAAAACACTGAGTTAATGCAACATTTTCCAGCAGCAGGACCTGGAGGCACAGGCCTCCCCTGTAGCTTATTTGTTATGTATGTTGTTACAGCTTTTCTGTCTTCTTTTGTATTGATTTCTGGCTTCTCTCTCTCTCTCTCTCTGCCCTCCCCTTCTCTCTGTGGACTCTGAAGGAAAAGGTACAGTAACATCACATTGTGCATGTGCATTGCATGAATGACTCTTGTTTCTTTAACTCTTTCAGCGATATTTTGGATGCGAACATGACAGGTTACCATATCTTTGCTCAAGTTGTGAGGTGTATACAGCACATGGGGAAGGATTGTCTCTGGCTGGGTCATGCATCATGCTGCCTGCTACCCTAGGGTTTTAAGACATAAGGGCAACTGCCTGTGGAACTGGCTGCCAGAAGAGCAGAGGAAAAAGCTGTGTCTGTGGCCTGTTAGAGCAGGGCAGCTGTGCTGCTTCTGCAGTTAGCAAGCCATCTGCGAGCCAGGTAAAATCATTCTTCTGCAAGACCAGGACCTGCCTCTCCCTGCAAGCTGCCAGTGGTGGTGCTCCAGTGGAGAAGTTGAGTGCTCCTGTCTCAGCAGTAGGAGAGCTCATCATATCATAGGACATTCAGAAGCAGGGGCTGACTATTGGCAACTGTTCAAGGGCAGCCTGCTGCTACTGGTAATCTAGTCGGCATCCCTCCCCAATGCCTTTTGGGTGCAGGGGCTGTGGGATAGTGGGTTGCTGATTTCCTTCTGTGGGCAACTGCATGTGGCTCAACCTGTGGGGAACCAACCTATAGCACTGTGCAGGCAGCTAGCAGAGAATCTGAGTGAGTAGCTTCCTTGCTCAGTGAACCTAGTGCTGACAAGTGCTGTGATTCTGCAAAAGGTAGGGCATCCGGAAGGAACGGGGAAGCTGTGCTCCTGGCACGTGCTGGGGATGTAGCAAGTCTTGGCCTACTGGATGTCCGCCGTGTCAGCTAAAGGCAGGACCAGCACCTGTGCTTAGTGCCATTACGTCACTGGGCTTGGAAGCTCTCTTGCTGCTGTGCCTTAAGTCTGGATCTGTCAATCTTGCCAAATTTAAAGGTGCAGCTTGCTGACATTACAGAGTTAAATGATAACACAGAGTTTGTATAAATCAATTTCAGGTAGCATGCTAAACTTCATTGCAGTATAATAAATTGCTCTTACTATGCAGCAAGAAAAAAATCCAATTTCCTGCTCTTCTGGAGAGGCAGTTTTGTACTGATACAGAAACACTGATTCTTTTTTTATTACATTTCCATTTCCATTTATCATTCAATCTGAAATTGGTCAGGGTTCTTGACATTAGTGGCGACCTTTGCAAGCTCTTCTTAAGTTTATGAAAAGATCAAACAATTTGCAAGCGACAGCAATTGATTTCAAAATTCTCTTGAGATAATTAGTCAAACCTTTTCATTTTGGAGTACATGTTGTGTTCAAAAGACTTTTCAATTTAATAATTCAAAATGGGCTTCAACTTATTGTAAAATTCATCAGTAATTGTAATCTATAGCCCTAATCTCTCTGTTACCCTTAACCCACTTGTTAAAATTTGCTAACCTAATAATTCAAATTGTTCCTTAACTTGGAAGCTGCCAGTTTCACGTGACCTCACAAGTCATGCTGATTTTAAAATCTGGAGCCTATAATTGCTCCCAGTGTGAATGTTATTCCTTCACTGAATGTAAAAATAACAATTAACGCTGTAACAAAATTTCCAACTTTTTTAACTATTTTCACTTGAATATTTTTAGGCTTCAAATATGAAACTTGCTACTGAAACGAGGCATGTGCCTTGCAGCCATGTCATTTTCCTGTTGGCTTGGAAATCTGCTAATGTACTTCATAGGAAGTATTTAACTTAACAGATTTGACTACTGGATAAAAAGAAACTATGTGCTTGGAAAGGCTTTATGGTCTGTCTAATGGCTGGTGCTTAGTAATGTTATCCCATTCAGTTCAACAGTTCCCAGGGGCAATCTCACAAGAGAGAGTTCAGTTAAAGGTAGTTTCAGTTTATGGTTATAGTACAACTCTAGTTTTACTCTGGTGCTACAGTGACCTTCCATGAGGAACTTGAGGAGACTATGCAATATGGTCATTTATGTTGCTGACCAGGTGACTCTTCAGATTCATCCCTTGGTTTCCTCTCCTTGTCCAAGGCTGGGCCTATATAACATGGTTTGCTGAACGCAATCATTCGTCTATCAGTTTTGGATGTAGTCTATGCTCACTTGGAAACAGACCTTCAGGCAAATGTCGGCATCTTTACCGGATCATACAAGAAAATGGGGCTGATGCTTAATGTTTAGAAGACTAAGATCCTCCATCAACAAGCTCTTAATGAGCAGTCTCCAGCTCCAGTAATTCAGATTCATGGTGAGACTCAGGAGAACGCTGAGTATTTCCTGACCTCGGAAGCCATCTTTTGCAGAAGCGTGACATTGATGAAGAAATCCAGCATCGCCTCAGATATGCAAGTGCTGCCTTCAGACACCTGAGGAAATGGGTGTTAGAAGATCCCAACATCTGATCTGAAACCAGGATTGTTATCAAGCAGTTGGGATCCCCACCTTACTATATGATGCTGAAATATTGACAGTGAACAGGAGAAGTACCATCAATGCTACCTGTGGAAGATCCTTCAAATCCAGCATGTAGACAGATGCACCAACATTAGTGTCCTCTTGCAAGCAAACACCATGAGCATTGAGGTGATGATCACCTGACATCAACATCACTGGACTGGCCATGTCATCTGGGTGTCCAATTCCAGACTCTTGAAGTAAGCCTTATTCTCTCAGTTTAATTAAGGTATACACTCAAGTGAAAGTGCTTCAGGGACAGTCTCTTGGCCAACTTGAAGAAAATGCAACATTGACATTAGCTCATGGGAGACTATTGCCCATGGAGGAAGAGTCTGCTGCAAGGATCTCAGTACTTTGAAACCTTATGACGGCAACAAGAGATGGAAAAGCGGGAGTGGCAGAAACAGCACGTTGTGGACTGAACTAAGAACCGAGAGCCACCGACCCTCCATGAAAACATGTCCGAACTGTAACAAAGTCTGTCAATCCTGGATTGGCCTAGTCAGCCTTCTTTGGACCCGCAGATAGGACAGTCATGAAAGACACTTATCTCCTACTGTGAGGGATTGCCAAAGATGAGAAGTTTTGGCTGGGTGGTGTAGTGGTTCGGTTTGCTTCCAGGAAGCTGAAACAGAGTAGTCAAAATGCAATCCATGCTCTGTATGAAGAAACTGCTGTTTTGTATGTTTATTTTAATTTTTTTTTACTCAAGATGAGTTGTTTTTATGTTGGAATTTCACATCCTAAGGAGAGACCAAGCTGCGTCTCATTTAATGTCTGCAGCTGCTTGAGGCTGTTACTTTCCAGACTTCAACATTTTTTTAACATGCAGAATATCCTGGGGCCACCTGCTTTTTAAAATGTTAATGAACAGTTTAGCAAGCAAAGTTAGTGCCTATTCAGAGCATCCTTGGGGAAGTGGAGAGGGCACTTGTTTTAATTTAGGTAGCTCAGAATTTCCAGAAGATCTTCTCTAAGGACTAGTTTGCCTCTTCTGCTCCAGTCTGCCTAGCTTTGTGCACCATTCTCATGACTCCAGCATTGGAGCTCCTTGCATTTAAGAAAACCAAAGGTGCAAAGTTGAGCTTTCAGAAGCTAGGAATTCTTGGAATCAAAGTTCCTTGCATAGTCCTAATGCAGCCTCCTTGGGCGTGTATACCATGGCAGCTCTTTATGCGATAGCCTGTTACTTTTTGGGTGGGAAAGTGTCTCGTTCAGTGCACAAGATGGTCCTTACTGAATAGGTGGCTCTTTCATTGTGGTTTTTCTGTTATTGTCATTGTTGTTATTATTATTGTTATTGTTACTACTACTATTACTACTACTGTTTTAAATCTTCCTTGTCCAGTGAAGGGAATCGTGTTGTACTTGCTATGGTTTATACAGGGGCTATCGATTCCGATCTCATTATCTGGATTACTTTGTGTGACCCCCTTTGTTCCTATGGGTTTACTGCTCATTTGCTTTTTTCTCTTGGCTCTTGCACTTGCACTCTTACTTTCCCTTTCTTTCTGCATGTTCTTTCACCGCATCTGATGAAGTGTGCTTGAGTTCACCAAAGCTTGTACTCTCTCTATACCTTAGTTAGTCTGTAAAAGTGCACATCTACTCTGCCTTCTGATTAACTTCAGATGAACATGGCTAAAGACCTCGCTGTACTTACTATCCACCATCCCTGCAAGCTGAACTTTCTCTGTTTCTTTTCCCTGTGGTGCTTCCAATTGAGGGTCTTAGTTCTCTGACTTCATTTTCATAATACTCCTGCAAGCTGGTGGTGGGGGTGGTATCACCCTCCTTTTACATGCCAGGTTTAGAGGCCTAGGGATCACTGTCAAACATCAACCAATAGGGTCTGGTCTTTCAGAGCACTTGATGTTCATGCACATTTGTCTTCAGTTGCATTTCGGAGCGCTCAGAATTTTGCAAATCAGGCATAGGTGTCTCAAAATGGGCACCCAGAAATCGAGGAACACGGTAGCTCATGAACATCTTGGCGTAAGTGACTTGTCTGGCATGCTGCAGGATGGGTGAGAAGTAGAATCCAGTTCTCCACGATGCCAATCAGAAGGCTTTTTTGTGCGTTCTCCTGCTCAGTTCACTAGCTACTATCTAACTTCTGCAAGAGCAGTGTGGTTCCACTAAACAGCAGCATCATTCACTGCACAGCCCTGATTTGTCCTCAGGCCACAGTCCGCACTATGGAACCATGCTGACACCCCTTCCCCAACACGGGTATCAGTGGGGTTGGGATTTTTAGATCCACAGCATAGTCCTCTGATATGAGTTAACAGAGGAGCTGGTAGCAGCATACTGGGATGATGGTCCCTGCTTCGTTAGGCGTAAACAATCCACTATGGCTTGTGTTTGTTTTGGTGTGCGTCCAAGGGCTACATTGGGTGCCTTCTTACCTTAAAAAGATTGATTGTTATTGAGTAATTTCAACACTGGTCCTTAATAATGCAGAACTACCTAATAAGAGTTAGATTTGTATAGGGCTAACTGAAAGATCTCGTACGTCATTTACTTAACTCGTTGAAAATGCTTTGCTAATAATACAGTGCATACAGAAATGACTGTTAGAAGGGAAAGATCTGATGGGCATGTGTCTTTTAAAACTTGAGTAATTAAAATAAGCTCCTTTCACATTTTATTTTTCTAGGAACAAAACTTTAGTTTCTAGGTAACAAGTTTTTAGGAGTGAAGCTAGTGCTTCAAAGCTTAAACTTAAAAAAAAATATATAAGAAAGTGAGATTTTCCCACCCTTAAATTTAAAGATTACAATGTACAAAACAAGTATACTTAAGGAGGATGCAATTTCTCTGCAATTGTGTGAGAAATTAGATAAGGAAGGAAGTCACTGTATTAAGAAGAGTGGTGGAAAGTCCCTGGGTTTTGAATTACACTCTAACTGGGGAAAAAACCCTATGTACTAAACATAGTTTTGTTCCATCTTTTTTCCAACTTGACTTTCTTTATTTTCTTGTTTGGTGTCCATGAATTTCAAATTAAAATGCACCTACTTCCACAGAAGAGATCCTTCTGCTTGTTCAGATGTAGCATCTGTGAACCAGGCCACTGTCTTAAGTCAGGTGTCCTCTGGCCAGCCTCTGCTTGAAATGTTGTTCATCCTCTTAGAGCAATCTGTGCTTGGAAGGAGGATGCCATCGGTCCAGGAGGCACAGGTGTTTTCCCCTGCACATTTTGTGGGACAATCAATCAAATGAAGGCATGAAAGACCAATAAAATGATAGGATTCAGAAATCTGTGTTGGGGAACCCTGGAACTGATTATCGAAGTCTGACTTCTCATGTTCATTTGAATGAATTTTAAATTCTTTTCCAAATTTTTCTTTCATGCTGCCTGTTGGCAAAACAGGAATCTTTTGTGAGAAGTTCAAAGCACTACTGTAAAATCATTCCAGTAATGTAATTAAATAGGTGCTTTTATAGTGGGTCACTACCATTTTGTTTTTATCTTCATTTAGTACTGAATCTACTATGTCCATGCCCTTGAAGCTACTTTGTTTTATAATTTGTCTGTCCTATGTTACATAGATACAAAGTGTGTTATAGATACAAAGTGTGTTTCCTTCTCTTTACTGACTTGAGCCTTGATCCTGCAAACATTTCTTCATGGGCTTAACTATAGGCACACAGTATAGTAAATATGCTCATACATGCTGGCAGGACTGAGGCCTTAATTGTTGCCATCAGGCCATTATTTTCTTACTAGTTTCTTACTAATCCTGTTTCTCAATAGATCAGAACCAGGCTCTTCGGCTTTGTCTTGGCAGCACGGCTGTTGGTGCCCAGTACGGGGCTATCTCAGCTCTCAGTATCAATAACGACTGCTCGAGACTTCTGTGCGGCTTTGCAAAAGGACAGGTAATTTTGATCTCAGAGGTATGAGAGTATCGGGGAACAATGCTATTTAAGATGCATAACGAATATTTTTGTGCATCTCAGATTTCAGTCTGAGGGAAAACAGTCTCTCTTAGAGAGCTTCACCTGTCTCCCAACATCTCTTTTCAGAGAACCCAATAACTCACCTTAAGTTTCTCCTACTTTGGTTTAAAGGAACTGTACTTTGCCATTTCTGCCTTCTGCTGTTTTTGAGATGGTGTTGATTTAAGAAATTGATTCCAATTTAGGAGTGTTGAACGTTTTGGTTTGATGATAGAAAAGCAGTTGGTTCCCAAAATTTAGGATTATTTTGGCTTATAAAATGAAAATTTGCTCAGGTTGCAGATTTCTTTGGAGTGCAGAAACTGGTTGACTTTTGATGATTCAGGGTGGCAGGGAGTGCATCTTGTTTCAACTTGGCCAGTTTTTGTAGCAAAATGTCATATTGAAGGAAATGTGTTCTCTTTGTAGATTACTATGTGGGATCTGGCTAGTGGGAAACTTCTGAGATCAATAACAGATGCTCATCCCCCAGGAACAGCCATTTTGCACATCAAGGTAACAAGTTTTCACTATTATCATCCGTCTCCTTTTGTACAGTGCTTTGAGATCTACTGATGCTCTGTAAGAGCTAAAAGGTAATAGCCAGAGGTCTGTTAAATGGATGCAGATGTATACGTTACGCTTTTTTTAATTCTCTTGGTATTTTTTTTCAGGCTGAAAATCTAAATTTATAAAAATAACAGCAGCACCAGAGTTAAGAGGACAACAGAGTTTTCATTACAGCTCAAGTTTGTCCCCACTCCATCCAAAAATCAACAAAAAACTAGTGGCCTCAAAATTGATGTTAGGATCAGTTGAGAGAAGTTTGTTTATTTGTTGTTTTCCTCCTGCCAAAACTGACAATGAATTGGACCAGGTATTCCTGATTTTTAAAACTCCTGAACACAGGACTTCATGAATGGGTGGTTTGTTTTTTGTGGTGTGGTTGGGGGTGGACTGATGGGCTATCTCTGTTTGCTGGGTTCTGTGTGTCAGGATGAAAGATTAACTGAAAGTCATCAAAGTTCAGAATTCATACATCAGAACAAGGTAGGCCTGCTGCAACTTTCTCACTCAGATAATGAACGAGCCTAAAGGAAACTTGCACAAGGAGTCAGTCTGCACAGGTGGGGCTGTTGTGCCCTTCAGCCCCAGGGAGAATGAACCCCTTACCAGCAAGAAATCCAGGACTCCCACTCATGTTCCTTGCCCTTGGCAAGCATCTTGCACAGTCTGACTTGGCTTACGATAAAAAAAACAAGGGGAAAGCCATCCTGGCCACCTTCACAGTCTTATCTTCTGTCTGTGTTGCCTGTCTAACCCTTGTTTCAGCTAACAAGGGGCCCTTCCTTCCTCCCATGGTAAGTCTTAGCTGGGAAGGTGAGAACATGGAAGAACCAGAAGCTGTTGGTCCTCTGTCACGCCAAACTGCCTCCCTGTCCCAGGGCAGACAGCAAGATGGTGGCTTATTTAGACCTGTTTGAAGCCAGTGTGTGTGTGGGTGGGAAGAAAAACCAGGGGTAAAGGTAAAAACCATAGAGAAGGGAAAATTATCTTTTTCTTACTGGCTGAAGCAGATGCACTTCCCCCTTTGCTCTCTTCAGTCTTCATAGAGGAAGCTGCATGGGGAAGAGGAGCAGACACCTGGTAGAAGGAAAAGGTGCTACTTAGTCTCTTTGAGTCCTCTGAGTCATAGTGGTGTTGGAAGACCTATTTGACAGTCCACTTTATTCAGGAAAAAAATATGCTGCATCTCAGACTAGGATACGATGCTTGTAACCAGGTCATGCTCAAGAGTGATTTACAGCATGGGCAGTGATCAGCCTATTTAGATTATATATTTTCTACAGTCTTGCCACTGCAACATACAGTCTGGATAGCCAGGAATTAAACTAAGCTGGGCCCATCTGATGACATGGTGGTGTCCACAGGTTCACTCTGACCACTTGGTAGGGCTTTATTTTCCTTGTCTCATGGTGAAAGACATGTCATGTGGGCTTCCTTAGCTTATAAGTTTGAGGCTTTATATCTTGCGGCTTTTCCCCTCTGTATGCCATATGAGAGGCTAAATCATTTCAGAGATGGAGGATCCAATAGGACTCTTCTTGTGGCTGCTCCCATGTCCTGAGGGACACTGTTCTGTGAAGGGAAAGATCAAGTTAATCTCCCCAACTAGAAGGATATGCTTGTGAATTAAATCATGGATCTGCATGCAAGCAAAGTAGTGCAGGGGTCTTGGAAGATGATTGTTCTCCCTCTCAGGCTGCCCTTGTAATGCTATAGCTGAGTACGGGCCAAACCTCTTTGGGAGATGTGCCACAAATTAGCTCCGCATCCTCCCTCCGTCCAGTCTGTTGCTCTGCTTTCTGCTTCCTGCCCTATTTGCTGCCATGCTGCCTGTCCCAATCTGCCATGTGCCTGGCACAGAGGCTGCCCCTGCCCCTTGTGGCACCCATGTTGCAAGTTAGTCACCCTTGCTGTAGTGTAAGGCAGGGTCATTTTTGTCATGTTGCCTTTTCCCCTCAGGTTTTAAAATTGCCTTCTGTTGAGAATTGGTCACATGAAGCTGTAGTCTGGTTTGACCTCTGCAAGTGAATGGGGGTTGTGTAGAAAGAATATACTCATGAAGAGTTAGGCTTGATAGTAACATTCTTTAAAACGGGAATGCTTCCAGACATACAGTATTTGCTTTACTGCAGTGTGTTTTTTGTTGTTTTATGGTTTGCATAGAAAGCAATGACTATTCCATAATAACGTCTGCTGACTTCATTTGTAAGCATTTTTTATGGCCCTGGTATTTTATGAGAGCAAGTAACTGTTCAGTCATCTTGTTGAAGATCTATCGGGTGTTGTACAGGATGAATATGTAAACAGAAAGAATAATGTTCCTTATTTCATTAGGAGATGTCCTGCAGTTAATAGATAGAAAAACCTGATTCCACGATTTTTGTTACAGTTTCTTTTTGATTAGCTCAACCCTGTCTCTTTCCTGATGTCGGTTTTAATCTAATTCTCTCTTCAGTTCACAGATGACCCGACCCTTGCGATTTGCAATGACAGTGGAGGCTCCGTCTTCGAACTGTCATTTAAGTAAGAGAATAGCCTTGTGGAAAAGATAGTGCTGAGTCAGAGATCTTGAAAGCCAAAGCAGAAAGGAAATAATTTCAATCAGGAAGGTCAAGTTTGAGGCTCCATCTGATGTAGCACAATCCAGCAGTGTCCCCCTCCTTCATGCTAGACTTTGCACTGGATCAGTCATTTGACCTTGCATTTGCAGTGGCATATGCATTTGAATTCAAACTGTGAGTGCAAGTAGCAGTAGTGCAGCAGTAAGCTGTAGTACCTTTCTCTCTGGCTGTACTGGGGACCCTGTTGGTGCTGCCCCAGCAGCACTTGTGGCACTACCAGGGAGAAGACTGTCTGTGGTGAGGTCTGCGAGGCAGGAACTAGAGCAGACAGCTGACAGCAGCCCTAGGAAAAGTAACCTTTTCTTAGGGGCTCCTGGCAGTTGCTTTGCCCCTCTGCCCACAGTGTGGCTCACAGTTGTCCAGCCCAGGTCCCCAAATCGGATGGCTGGCTTAAACTTTAAGATGGTTCTTGGAAATTCCCTCTTTGCAGGGTGGAGGAGACTGCCACCACTGCGGGCAGAGACAGGAATTGGTGCTTAGAGCCCAACGGGCTACTCTGTACATGGGAAAGGATGGTGGTGGCATCTGATGAGTAGCCAGGAGGTGCCAAGACTCTCCTGCTAGCAGAATTTCAAGGACTCCTTGTCTCTGCCTGCAGTGCTGTTTGGAATGCCTTAAAGACCATCTTGAACTTGCACCAGGCATCATGAAAAGGAGGGCTCACAGTGTTTCTTTTCCTGGGATATATTTAGTGTGTAGTGTGGGGTGCTCTGATGCCAGCCAGCTGCTCATCAGGTTGATGGCTCTGCTTTCAGGAGAGTGATGGGAGTGAGAACCTGCGAGTCTCGATGTCTGTTCAGCGGATCCAAGGGGGAAGTTTGCTGTATTGAGCCTTTGCATGCGAAGACAGAACTGAGAGATCATCCTATTACCCAGTACTCCCTGCTAGCAATGGCCTCCTTGACTAAGGTAACTGGTCTCTCATACAAGGCTTTGTGTGCTATCCTGGAATGAATGGCACACACAGGTAATCCAGAATGGAGATTTTAAATGTATTTTTGTAACTTTTTCTTTCGATGCAGATCCTTGTCATTGGGTTGAAGCCATCTCTGAAAGTGTGGATGACTTTTCCATATGGTCGTGTGAGTAACCAGCAAACAGCTCCTTCCTCAAGTTAAGGTTACAAATCCTTCCATGAGGGAAATGGGTGGATGTAGGTGGAATGCTGATCTGAATGTGTGAGGTGCTGCTCCTTTAGGTCTTTGAGCAATAGCCTCCATCTTAATCCCCATCGCCATAGCTCATTGTAGGCCTGATTTTATTCTAGCTCAAGGCCTGAGGGGGAGTAGTGAAGGCTGCCTTAAATTGCCCCTCAGGAATAATAGCACTGAGCTTTTCTGGGAAGCATGAGCAGCAGGCATATGTTGGCTCCCTGCTGTTGGCTAGCCATTCTCATGGCATGGGGCATAGATTGATCATACCCATAGTGACACCAAGGCAGGGGGGCAAACCCTCTTGTATATCCCTATAGTCAATTCAGTCTAATTCAGGACCCAAAAACTCTCCACCGCTGTACTTGTGGTTTTTTTGTACAGTCCTTATGGGGCAGAGTTAAGGGTGTATAAGTGCTCTAACTATGAAGTATCCTACTTTTAATGGGTTTGCATCTGTTAACTTTAGACTTGACTATTAATACCCTGGGTCTATAGGGGGCATGCATATAATATAGTGCAGCATGCATATAACGTAACTTTATTTTAACTTCTGATTGATCCATTATCACCATTTTAATGAGATTTGTTTTTTTTGGCAATTTATGCATGCCCATGAGAATTCCAGGTTTTTGTGGTCAGTGTTGCAGTGGAACGATCTCTGCTGCCAAAAGCCTGCTCTTCCAGGCTTTCTAAATGGATTCTTAAGTGCTAGAGTTGTGGGGAGTCACCACTGGTGCTAAAAGACTCACTTTTGACCTGGTTAATGTGATGTCAGAGTGGGTGGTGAGGCTGATGAGCTGTGACGGATGGAATGGAATAGAACTTCCTTCTGTGCATAGTAGCATACACAGGCTGTTCTTTTTCTCTGACCTAGATGGATCCCTCCAGCGTTCCTTTGCTGGCGTGGCACTTTGTTGCTGTACAGAACTCAGTAAACCCCATACTTGCCTTCTGTCGTGGAGATGTGGTTCATTTTCTTTTGGTAAGTCTGGATAAAGTGTTGCCTGCCCTTTCAAGGAACTGCTTCCAGAATGCCTGAGCATCAACCCATTTGCTCCAAGTCAATGGAAGTGTGTAGTGCTGTCCTCTGGTTTGCAGGTTGTCAGCTCACCACTGAAATGGGAAAAACAGTTGGCCTGTTGAGCAAATAATGAACGTGTATAGATTGACACTATTAGGCCTGCAGGGGTAGATCAAATGCTTTGTGACTTCCAGGTAAAAGAAGAAACAAGTTACGTAATGGTTACCATGATGATTTTTTTTTTTTAGTGTGTTCTCTCCAGATCCATTTTGACCTTCCTTCACTGTACAGTTTGTACCCTGGCTTGAGGCCTAGTCCATCTCCTGTTGAAGTCAAGGGGAGATGGATTGGCTTTCAGAGAGCACCTGAATGGAGGGCTGTGTGTGCTCTTTCTAAGCTATGGATCTCAAAAGATGTGTGTAGAGGCAATTGATGGTTAAGTGCCATGGGAAACCCCCAGGCCTTGTGTGTCACTGCACAGTTCTTACTCTGTGGGCCTGTGGAAGCAGTGCATTTCGAGTCGCTCATGAAATGCCCTCTAGTCTGCTTTCAAGAGGAGGGATGGTTTTGCGGTTAATAGATTGGATTGGTTGTTAGTACGTCTTGGTTGGTTTCCCAGCGCTGCTGCAGACTCTGCATGAGACTTGAGTCCTCTGTGCTTCAGGTTAGAGTGATAATTCTTCCCTTCCTCCACCTTTTGCCTGTCGTCCTGGTTCAGTTGATAGGCTGGGATACATCCCACTAAGGGCAAGCCTGCATAATACCTAGCAGTGTTTTGCAGTGATCATGGAGCTAGCTTGGGTACCAGAAATAGTACAGATGCAGTAATGTGGTTTTCCATCTAGATTACTTGGCTGTGCTGTTTAGGTGTACTCTAAGCGTTAATGTAACACCAAGCACGTTTGAGGCTCTGACCTTATTTGGAACATTGAGCTACAGGTAATTTGTATATTGTGTAGAAAGCTCTAAAGGTTGTTGAGACGCATAGCTTAAGAGCATTCAGCAAGGTTTAAATGTATCGGGGTGTAATGATGTTAATATTTTAGCGAGTTATGATTGAAGAAGTTTTTCCATCTCATATCACTGTCCTTACTGTACTTTTTCTGGAAAAATAGCCTTTTGTGAGCAGAAATGTTCTGCGTATGTTGTTAGCACCCTGAAGTGATTTTATTTATTTTTCTTCAAAGGCCATTTTAAGTTCGTTGCAGCTATCTTTTGAATTTTCCAAGTCTAATAAAGCCCTCATCTCAGTTGCCTCATGTTGATTCCGGCCCTCCTTTGGTGGAACATATAGAAGTCAAATTTAATGCTAACGCTTGAGATTTTTCAGATTTCACACTGGACAGCTGCCCCTCCTGTCCAAGGGTCCCTTCCACAAGGGTTGAGTCACTGTGGAGTATTAAACTACAAGGGGGCATGCTAAGACAGTGAGGGGTTCTGAAAGTAGGTGGCTCTTCTGTCAATTGTAGGTACTTGGTGTCTTTGTTTTATAAAGAGATCAGTCAAGCCCCCAAGGGAAAGACAGACTATAGCGAATAGTTTGTGGGCAGGCTTGTGTTCCAAGCACTTTGTATTAAAAATGCCTGAAAAGAAATGGAACAAAAGACTATTTAAAAAGTCAAAAGACAAGCGTATGCATGTGTAACATTTGCCTCTGAAAGATCATTGCTTTGGGGGATGAATAAATGTCTCATGCGAAGCCTGTTTTAGAATGCAGCCTCAACTGTGGAGCTGCTAAATGGCCATCTCTGTAATTGCTGACACTGCATACTCTGCCTAGTCCAAGGAGATCCCTGGCCCCTGGAATACGTTTGTCTTCCTCGGTAAAAGTGTTAGGAAGCTCCTTTCTCAAGGGAAGATACCGGGTTGGAGAAATCACTGAGCTTGAGCTTTATTTTTTTCTTATTTAATTCCATCATTAGGTAAAGAGAGATGATTCGGGTGCAATACATGTTACTAAGCAGAAGCAGCTGCATCTGCATTACGACCTCATCAATTTTACTGTAAGTATTGATTCTGGTAAACGTTTTTCCTTCTGTTTCAGTGGAAATAACAGCCTCCAGTGTTAAGTGTTTGCCAGCATTCCTCAGCTTCTAGGAGTTTGTAATTTAACTCTGCAAACTGCTTCTAACAAATGTTACAAGCTATTTTCAGGTATATAAAATGGTCGTTTGGATCTAGAATTTATGAACCAAGGTGAATTTTTTTGCTGTAGCTTTTCATAGAACACCACCTTAGACAGTCTAAATAGTGGCTGTAGGTGAAGGAAAAGATATGTGCACTGTGCATAGCATCATACCAACTAAACTGCTCATGCCATTGGTGAACAAAAGTTATAAAAAAAAAACGTCTTTGGAAGGGCTTGTGGAGTTAAATCTTTCTTGCCAAGTTTGAACTCTCAGGTATCAGTACCAAGTAGCAGTTCAGTTGGCACAAGAAGATGGTAGCATACTCTTCTATACTATGCATGTCTTTTGCTAATACATTGTCCTACTGTTTGATGTCTAACATACAGGAATGCACTCAACAGCAAAAAAATTCTAAAACTATTTTGTTAAATGATAAATATATAATATAAAATACAGTAATGGCAAGATGAAAAGTTGTCTTTGCTAGACTAGAGATGTAAGGCTGCCAAAAAAAATCATGCTAAGAACAAATGAAAAGGCCTTCCCACTCTGCGGTTATGGTCTGCTGGCTAAAATTCAAAATATTGGGCTTTGAAGTTCCCAGGTCAGAGTTATTCTCTTCCTCTGATGCCAATAAACATCTTTGGTCCCCTGTTCCCCTTGCAAGAGGTCAAGAATAAATTTTATACTTATAAAATAGTTTGGGATCTTCAGGTGTCTGGGAACAAATATTGTATGGAGAGAGCAAGGTTTGTGGTAGACTTATCTCTAAACTAAAGGCATATGCTGAAGAGAACACTACTTTTTGAGACAGTTTCTGTGATAACTGGATGCTCCCAAGGAAGTCTTCTGTTTTTCACCTATATGTTCACATGAACTTGCCCTCCCACCCTAGAGTGGTTACAGATGCAAAACCCAGCCATACTTCAGGTATCCTGTCTAACAATGCTGTCAGCTGCTTCTAGCTTTTATACTAAGGATGTTCTGGACATCTGTGATGCTGATAAGGGTGCATGTGAAATGTTTCTGGAGTTTGCCATGTGATTTCTTCCCAGTGGATGAATTCGCGCACGGTGGTGCTTCTGGATAGCGTGGAGAAGCTCCATGTGATAGATCGCCAGACGCAAGAGGAGTTGGAAACCATAGAGATTTCAGAGGTTCAGCTAGTCTACAACAGCAGCCACTTCAAATCACTGGCCACAGGGGGCAATGTCAGCCAGGCTCTGGTAAGGACAGATGGGTCTTGTAGCCTGCCAGTATTTCACTTATAGATTTAATGATATTTTCTATTTCAAATGTGGTTTTAAATAAGAGAGGCTGGAATCATCTTAAAAAGGTCTTTAAAAAAGCTTGTTTCGTATTGGTTTGCCCCTGAGCAGGTGATCCTTCAAGTCTTGCCTCTGCAAATTCCCATGTGTAGGACATGCCTCTCTGCTGCCAAGCTTTGGATTCTTTTGCTGAGAAGAGGATACCAGTGTGGCCATGTGTTGGAGGTTGTTGCCTCTGCACAGTCTTTCTGCGTCTCCACCTTTCCCTTTTCCAGAGCTGCTCTCTCCAAGTTCTGAGATTGAAAGGAAGGGAGTCTTTAAAAGTCACACACCTCCTATAACATCAGCCTCAAACACCGGGCACTATAGGTGCTTTTTCTTCCCCCTTCACTTCCCTGAACATTGTTAGAGCTCAGTAGAGTACTTCAGGGCACGCTGCCAAGTGGAGGTGTACAACTTAGCACTCAGCCAGTCTTACTACGGAGCTGTTTTCCAGCAGCTGTTGTATCTTTGCAGTAATGTCACCAGATCCCATGCTGGGCAGTGGTGGGCCAGTTTAGTATGTGGATGGGGGAGAAGTGAAGTGAGTAGTGACTGGCAGACAACAGTCAAGGGTGCTGTCCAGATGTAGGGCCTATCTTAAGTTTTGCCTTATACTCTTAATGATCTCTGGTTGGCTTAATCAAGTAGACCTGACTAGAAGGGCCTCGTGCTGTGAAGGAGCAAAGCTAAATTGTCATTTCTCAGATAGTATTTTTTTTTCTTTCCAGGTACTTGCAGGGTCCTGTGAGCAGGGTTACTGTCATTGCCAACACATGACTCTAGACAGGGCTCTCTGTACTGGGTAACTTCTTCCCCAGGGAAGCTCATGCTTAACAACTGTGAGCATGGTCTGGTTGCTGGACTCCAGCCTTATTTCCATACTGGGTTTGGTGTGAGCTGCTATCTCTTCTTGACTCCTGTTTTGAATTTCTTTGTTCCTAAACATGCCCAAGGTTAAGCAAGACCCATTTTTCACAGACCTCCTTCAAAAACAGAAACAAAAGCAGCCTTGTATCAGGAGAAATGATGTTTTGGTTTTCTTCCAGGCACTGGTTGGGGAAAAAGCCTGCTATCAGTCCATCAGCAGCTGTGGCAGTCAGATCTTCTACCTTGGTACAAAGGTAAATGTGGGTAGCCCTCCAGAAACATAATGTGTCTATGCTTGCATGCCATCTCAGGGAACTCAAAGTGGTGTGGGTAGGTGGGTGTGTAGCAGAACTCATCCTCTGCCAAGGAGGGAGATTCCTCTCCCACTTCACTGGGGTATCCAGTGCCCCAAGCACTAGACTCCCATTTCTGAGGAAGCTGTACACCTGAGGCTGTTAAATGGGAAGGTTTTTTTGTGCAGGAACTCCACTGATGCATATATTTATCTCCTAAATCCTTTCTGGTCTTGGCCAAGATGCACCATGGAAGAAAGCCTGTAGCAAGACTAGAACTCCCTACTAGGTGCTACTTCAGAATAAATGTGTAATGGGTAAATAATGCCAAGTGAGGCTGAAGTTAACAACTTCCCCCTCACCCCAGCAGAGATGAAGTGTGAAGGAGGCTGGATTCCAATTTGTAGAGCAATAAGAGAAAGCCCCATGTGCTTGATTTCCCACCCCCCCTTCACTCAGAATAAATCAATCCCCATTCTTATGGGAACTCCTGGGAAACTGAAGCTGTATAACAGCTGGTAGGGAGTACTTCCAGCCTGTGGAGTGTAATTGTAGCCCAGATGTGTAACATGAATCCTGTGGTGGAGGTGTACAAATCTATGCATTCTTTGTCCTTTACCTAGTCACCCGTGAGAAGTTTCCTTATGCATTTTTTTCCCCTCCACCTTTTCAGTCCGTTCATGTGATGACATTAAGGAGCTGGAGAGAGGTAAGTCAAAAGACTGGGTGCTTGCATATTTGAACTAAAATCAGTTGCATGCATTGTTCAGAGGTAGCTTGATGACAGGAGGAACTAATGCTCTAGCTTATAGAATTCATTAAGCAAGTTCCAGGTAGAGTGTTCTGAATCTGTAACTGCTACTCACCCCTATTTTCTGAGTACAGGCTTCAGCACAGCATGCCCTCAGGCTCCAGTCTATCATTTGCATGGCTGCTGAATAGGGATTGTATGCATCTTCTTCACAAAGATGCCTTGCAATGTTTCTACCACTGCTGAGTTGTAGTGAGGCAGTACAGGTTCAGGGTATTGTTATGCAGTACGCTGTAGCTATGAGTCACTAACCAGTTTGGGACATGGAACTGGAAGGAACCAACAGTCCCTAGTTGTTGCTGGCAGCCCATTTCATAGACTTATCAAGCTCACTCTTAATACCTCCTAGTTGAATACTCCTTACACTTCTTCCCATCACTATTCCAATTGGAAAAGTGTTCCAGAATTCTGTTCTTCTGCTTAGAAACCTTCTAGTATCCAGCTTAAATTTGTTTCTGGCGAGTTTATACCAGTTTGGTTTTGTGCTAGCATTATCCTTTAACTTAAATTAGCTCTCTTTCTCTCTTGGAGTTCATTTCCCCAGAGTCTAACACTGAACAGTCCTGTCCTACCTCTGCATTTGGTTTGCAAAGCTGCTGAAAGGTGGCACCTCATAGACTAACTCTTTAAGAGATGCACAAGCTTTCATAGGTTACAGTCTACTTTGTCACAAAAAGCGAGGGTGGAGAAATAACAGCAGCATGGACGCAATTTCCAGCTGTTTGGCCGTGGCGTGGGCACAGGCAAAATCCCCTAGGTTCTGCTGGCTGTAGAGCTGGGGCAGAGTCCCCCAGCTCCACCACCATGTTCTGCACCATTCACTTTGGTCCATCCAGTTTCATTTTGTTTTGGGCCCTATCTAGATTAGTTCTTGACCATAGCATTCTCCCTTTTTCCTCATTTTCTTTTTATTTCTGTGGCTCTGCTGTTTGTTGTAGCTTTTTTGCAAGGCCTGGTCTCAGGAAATTCATATTTTATCCCTTCAAGAAGTATCGTAGTAGCTCTTTCAGGTCTGATTTGAACCCTTTTTCTGCTTCCTAGGCCATTTGCCCCATCTCATTCTTGTGGTGGCCATTCATCCAGTTAGGTCTAAATTTCCTCCCTATGATGTTTTTGCCTTTGCATGAACTGCACATCCCCAACAGCTTTTGTACCTTTGATTCAGAGATTTAAAAGCCTTCTCCACCTCAGTCTAGGGTAACTATTTAAAAGCATAGTCGTGTTTTCAGGTTAAGGAGACCAGGGTGAGCTTGGGCATGATAAAAGGAAAAGTTAACTCCTGTTTCCCAATAACAATGTAAGCTCCTTCAGGACCTCAGAGGGTGTGGTGATGTAGGAGGTATCTGTACCTTAGTTGATCAGGGTGGTACCTTAAGAATAGTAGAAGAGATGAGGGACTAGAGCAAGACGCTAGGGGTGGTTGGGAATGGATTCTTGTTGTGATGGTGAATGGTGGGTTTCTTGGGGGAAAATTCATAGCTTAGTACTATGTGAACTTTGGACTGCTGTGGCATAGGCTGGGCAAGGCTCTTGAGTGGAACAGCTCCAGGGTCTTTCACTTTCTGAGTTGAATGGGGCCAGGCTTTCACTTCAAATGGTTAACGTTAAAAATCTCTCTGAAGGAGGCCTATCAAGTAACTTGGCTTGTGACCCCTAGACCAGCACTTCTCAACATTTTTGGGTTGACAGCCCCTTACCTGGAAGAAAACAGGGCAGAAAGGCACCTTATTCAGGGAGGCATCACTAGTTCATCTCTAAGGTGCCACTTTGCCCTGCTTTCTGCCTGACTTGAGACTGACACAGTTTTCTGCCTTTCCTTTACTGGAAGTTAGGAAAATGTTCAGACCCTCCTTAAGTTTTAGTGTAAAAGCCAAAAAATAATGTGTGTTAACAGTTAGCCTCCCTGCTGGGTGTGGCGTGTTTCAAGAGGCTCCCTGACAACACTTAAACTTGAAAGGGCCTGAGACTTTATTTGCTTTAGCTTGTGATAACACTTCCAATAACCCTGTGCCTGCTGTTGTCACTTGTCTTCTAGAAGTAGGGAATGGGCAGCACAACCCCCTTGGTTTGGGAAACTCCCATCTTAAAGGATTGCTCCTCTTTCCTGGATTTCTTAAGTCCTGTATTGTTTGTACCTCCTGTTTGCAGAGAGTGGATCACCTTCTGAAACAAGACTGTCTTACTGAGGCCCTGGCTCTAGCTTGGTCTTTTTATGAAGGTAAAGCAAAGGCTGTTGTAGGTAAGTTTTTTAATTTCAAGGCACTTGGATAGTTCTTTCTACCTGTGTCCAAAATGAAGTCACTGTACAAAAAGACATTCAAGTGAGACTTGTGTCAAATGAAGGGAAAGAAAGCTCTGGTAGTGTGGATGCAGTTGGACTGGTACATATATTAGTAACTATGGCCTGGCTTGCTTTCCTGCAGTCCTAGTAGTTTTGTAGTTTCCTTGGTAAATGGCTTCCATTTGCCTCCACTTTGCCAAAAGGCCAGTTGTAAACAGAAGACTGGAAGGGATCACTTGGGGCACCAAGTCTAGCTGGCCTGTGACCACATGTAGCCGTTTCATGGATAAGTCCAGAAGGGTCAAAAAGAATGCTCATCCCACCTTGCCACAGACCACAAGCTATGAAGTGTCTCCCCTTGCATGTGCTACAGCACACTTAGGACTTCTAGTGCAGAAGAGCAAAGGCCTCAAACTGCAGTGGGCTGCAGGATGAGAACAGGAGAGAGCAAGGCCACTGTTGGTACTTTGAACATTTGCACTGGCAAGGAATTTGTTAGGTGAAATACACCCAGGAGATCCCAGGAAGTGGATTATGTCCCATGCCACAGAAGACACAACACTCCAACAGTCTCTGGTGGTCTGACCTGGGACCAGGACCTCAAGATTGGCATTTGGTTTGACCCAGAGCACATGAGCAAAACTCACCAGCCAGGCACCTGAGAAGTTTATTTGCCATGAGGAGAACTAACACACCTCCTGTGTGTGTGTATTGAGGGTGGTGGTATGGAGGGAGGGGTGGGTGGATGAAACACCCTTAGAAGCCAAGTCCATCTAACGTGGCCATCGGGAAGTTGCATCTCACCCCAAGACAGAGTTCTCTAGTTTCAGCCTCTACCGCCAGAACTTGACATGTGCCATCAGCAAGGACAAGAAGCTCCCTGCCACCAGATGCCACCTCATATGTGAGCAGCTACACGTATCGATCAAATTATCTTGTAACCTTCTCTTGGGGATATCAGTAAATCAGTCAGCTGAGGCCTCTGGTCACTAGCTTAAATTCCCAACTCCAGGATCTTGCCTGTTCCATGGTACTGTCTTTTCCATGAGCCTCCTCAACTCCATAATGAAAGGAATTAGCTTCATATTACCTCTGCCTCATTTGGAAAACTATTCCAGAACTTTGCTGCTCTGATGGTTAGAAACTTTTTTCTAATTTCTAGTCTCAGTATTCATGACCAAGTTATGCCCAAGTGGATATTATACCAATATTATCCTTCCTTCCTGGTGTTTACCCACCATCACCTATGTGTTTATAGAGTAATCCTCCTTGCATTCGGCCTTTGTTTTTTTGCTAGGCTAAACAAATCATGCTTTTCTGGTTTTGCTGGAAAACAGCGTTCCAGACGTTGCTGGCAGGCTCTTGAGGCTCCAAGGAGATGCTTCTGTGCATGGTGCCTGCTGGATGAAAAAGCACTGGAGAGGGCCAAGGTGGTGAAAATGGCCATGGTCCCTTATGGGAAACGGTAATGTATGAAGCCAGCGTAGCTCCTATGTTGAGCTTGGTTGGGGAGCTGCAGATCACAGCAGTTCAGTGCTTTTCTGCAGATGCTCTCTCAGACCTTGTATGGTATCTACTAGACACCAGGATGATGAAACCCTCTCCTTGGGTGCAGTGGGTTTGGCTGGTGACTGGGTATGTGGTACGTGGGCCTGTGTCAGTTGTACTGAATGTGCAAGTGATCTCTAATTGGGTGTTTTACCCTGAGTTTCCTACAAATAAGGTCTGATAGCTTTTGGTGGACTCCTCTTTATGCAGTCCCCAACGCAGGTGTAAAACCAGCCTCCCACAAGGAAATGTAGAATCAGTTTGGTAAATTTTAAGACTTGAAGCTAATAGATTTTAATCTGTATCCAGAACATAATTTTTGGTACACAAAGGAATTGTGTTTTTATTTAGATAGATAGATAGATAGATATATAGATAACATTTTTTCCTTACAGTACAGTTAAATACAACTTATTTTCAACCAACAATCTCAGAGTTCCTTATATACAGTAACTGGCTATTCTGAGGCATCCCATCATAAACATTTGTGGAGCACCTTGGTGCCAGGAGGGATGATCGTAAAAGAATACTTGGGGTATTCAGATATGCATTTGAAGCACTCCAAATTCCAGAGTTCTTCAAATTTGTCACTGTGCAGACATGCAGAGGTCTGGAGAGCAGGAATCACTGCATGCATATGGGCCTTCAGAAGTTCATGAGGATAGATGAGTGCACAGGAGAGTGCTCATTGGCTGTCCACCTTCCTCCTCTCCTCCCCCATGGTTGGGATGGAGTGAAGCATTTGGGGATGCTAGAGGACTGCTGATGCATACAAGGGGCATTTTTGAAGCATTCTGGCCACTTTTGAAGTGCTGCTTCAGCTGTTGAGGTCTGCACCCCTTGCTGTTTTGAGCACTCCAGAGATGCAGAGAGCAACAGTACATCTGTCCATGGCCTCAGTCCTCTCTTAAATGACACAGTGTCCAGAGCTGGACTCTTTCAAAACCTGTTCCCAAACATTTAGGAAATCATATCTAAGTTACTGTTTAGCTGTAGAGTAGATTCCATGTTTTACAGGGATAAAAACAATGTACTGAATCAGCTAAAGGATTGCTGGAGTTACGATTCTCTTGTCTTTTGTCAGCATCTGAGCTGTAGGAGTCGAAAGCAGTCTATTTCCACTTGGAAGTTTGAGGAGAAATTCTGGGGATTTTGACATTTATAGTTTTTTTTTTCCTAGGGTTGTCTGGAGATGTCGGCAAGCGAAAGGCAGTCATTGCAGACAGAGTAAGTTGTTTTTGATTTCTGTTCATTGTTTTTAATCTGTTCCAAATCCCACTCTTGTGCGTACTGATACTGCAACCTGGACAAACCAAACAAGCTGCACGCAACACAAATAAAGGGTCCCAGAACTTGTAGTTACAGAAACACCTTCAGCAGAACAAACACAGGAACTTTTAGGTAAGATGAGCCCCTTCTTTCTTTCAAGTTCTAGTGGTTCTGTTCAAAGCTGACATCTCAGGAAAGGATGCTGGGAAGGCCACTGGCACTCTTCCCAATGGAGTTTTTTAGTTCTTTGCAAGGACTTTCTTGTTGGATCTTTAACACACAGCACCCAGAGTTACAGGGTTTTGACACTAGTGCAAATCGTGCTAACTCATTTGGTGTTCTGTTTGGCCTGTTGAGGTTATTTTGCTAATGACTTGAGCTGATCAGCTTCTTGGTTCTGTAAATTTTTACTCTCTGTACACAATCCTTCATGTCAGCAGAAATCTTCTCACGTTGGGATCAGGCTGATGGATTGATTGCCCTTGCTCAGAGTAGGCTACAAAAGCAGCTACAGCTCTCCCTAGGGCTGCATCTCTTAGCAGCCTACTTTGTGGAGATCATTGGGCCACAGACTACAGGGCAGTACAGCTGTTCCTCTATCCTGTGCTCCCCATTTCTTCCTGTCCACTAGTACTCTGGACCCCCAGTGGGTGACCACAGAGCTCATGGTGCCACCAACTCCAAGGTCCTGAATGCACATAAATAGTGTAAGGACTTAAGCTCCCACCCTGAGAAGGCTATACTCTCAAGTACCTGAGTGCATTTCTCATGGCTTCTTTTCATTCAGATGGTTGAAATCCTTCTCCATTACACTGATCGAACTTTGAAGAAGTGTCCCGACCAGGGAAAAATCCAAGTGATGGAACAACACTTTCAGGTACGGTGCCTGACCTGGCTTTTTGACATTTGTGATCAAATTGTTGCTTTTTTCTTTGAATGGTTTTGATTTATATAGAACTGCTTTTAAAAGCATCTTGAGCAGCGAACTGTATTATGTATGTTAAGATGAGTATTGGGTACTAATTACTAGCAGTCATTTGATAGTTGATTGGTGTCATTGCATTAGACACTGATGAAATTCCCTTTTGTGCTTTATCTCAGCCTGAGGAGAAATTCTGTCCAAGCCAGTGCCATGTGGAGTTCGAGTGCCATGCGTCCCAGTTTGTGTGACTGACTGGTTTTAAAATACTCAAGAGCAGAAAGCCTCTTCCAGGAGGCAGCCTGTGCCAACCATCTGAGCAGGAAATGATATTATGACCAATAAATGGTTCATATTTCTAATTTATGTTTATAGAGGAAGTGTAAGGTCTTTACTAGGGGTCTGTAAAGCAGTTGTTGCCTCTTTCAGGAGGCTTGTTCAGCACTTTTAAATATTGTACAAGTCAGTTCTTTGGTGGAGTTGAGCCTGTCTGAGCAGTGGCCTGACAAAGTCCAACAAGGCTAGAAGGGTGAAGTTTAAAATGTCGAGTCGGGTAGTATCCATAGGATGAATTTGTTTGGCATTCTGGATGCCAGCTGAAAAGGTGTAAGGGTTTGTCATGATGGAATAAGCTACTGTGTTGTTGTGTTTTTTTGCTAGGGGAGTGAAGGCCATGATAGCTTGGCACATTGTGGGGAGCAGACCACCTTTTTTGAGCTCTGGTACCAATATATATGGCATGTCAGAGGGGGCTTTCCAAGGCCAACACTCTCTCGAAGAAATGGTCAGTCATTTGCTCTTCAATTCAGGTTTTGGAGTTGCTCTTGAGTCCAGGCTTAGGAGAGGGGTAGACTTCATCCCTGCAATTGGGAGAATCATAGGGGTGTATTTAATATTCCAAATCCTGTAATCAGTCTGCCAGGCTCCTTCTAAGGGTCAGGAGGTAGGGAGATTAGCTGCCTCAGATTTTCCCCAGAGTTGCCGGAGTTATCGTTCTTGTTAGATGAGGCTCCAAAAATTTTGGAAAATGTCTCAAAAATGAATGTTTGTTCCCGAGAGACCAAGCTAGTTTCTGAAAATCCACTGCCAAGTGACTCTAAGCCAAGCTTACTGGCTGCTGTGTGGGTTTTTTTATTCTCCCTTCTTCCAGGAGAGCTCAAATCTGTTGCCTTCTGTGGCCTATACTAAACCCATCTGTTCAATCAGGGTTTTGCTGCTGGGTGGTGGACAAGCATGTTGGTTTCAGGTTTTTTACTACTAGTTTGGGATAAATCTGCCTGTATTTGAGATCAGCCAACCAGCCTTCAAAAAAAGTATGTGTATGTGTGGGGGGTTTTTTCTTCAGACGGGAACACCCTCAGCCAAAATAAAGCCAAACCCTATGTTGTTTCACCATTAACATGTAAAACTAACTTCTTGTCTTAGGCACTGTCCTTACCAGCTATTACGGGATTGTTAAAACCCCTAAAATGTCCTTATTCTGTGGCTTCACTGTTAGTTATTTAATGTGCTAGCTATATCTAGCTTCATAGAATCCTAGGGGTTCAACACAGAACAACTGCACTGTTAAGGTGTGTGGGGACCTCTTCCATGTCATTAGTTATAATTGGGTTTCAATTACTGAATTACTGATTTGATTACTTTTATAGCTCAGGGGTCAGCAACCTATGGCCTGGCCTGTGGGCATGGGGCTTCAGATGCTGGACTAAGTGCAGGTGGGTGGGGATGTGCTGGCTGCGCTCTAGCACCCAGGCACCACTAGTGCTTTCCCCAGTGGTGGCACTGGGATAGTGTCTGCAATCAGTGCTTTTCCACTGTGGCTGCGGGGGGATTTGGCAGCAGTCATTTTCCCTTATGGGGATGAGTGCCAGCTGTGGACACTCTCCCTGTGCACTGGCCCAGGGCTTAGTCCATCCTGTGGTCTGAAAAGGTTGCCAACCTCTGTTTTTAGGTTTTCAGCGTTCTGGTGCACTGCAGCAACTCCTTGTTTACATTGTGTGGAGTGAATGTGTGGCTCACCAGCCCTCTTCACAGCTGGGTGGCCCAAGGGATCAAAAAATGGTCTGACCTTGAGTTTGCTTGTAGGTACTGTAGTCTGGGAAACCTATGACACTTTCTATTTCAGTGACAAAAATGCAAAGGCCATTGGTGTGCTGCCTCTCTCCCCCGCACTTCACTGTACTGGCGGACACTTAGACTGGGGGGTGAGCCTGTAGCAGCCCTAGAGGACATCCCCTACAGTGTGTGGTAGAGGGGCTTGTGAGGAGTTGAGTTGTCAGCTGCAGTAGAAGGGAGGAGAGAATCCTACTGTCCAGGCAACAAAGAGAATAGAAAAATCAAAGCATTTTCCAGCAGCCTAGAAACCTGGGGAAAACTTCCTGCTCCTACCCCTTCACCACAGCTTTAAAAGGTGAAGTTAGTAGTGCTCCATCTCATCTACCACGGGACACTTGTAAAGGTTTTGAAACTGCAGCTTGCAGCAGGCGAGATGAGTTCCGTGCTCACGTAGCTGCCAGTGCCCTCGCTCTCCCTTCCCCGTTCTGCAGTTGTGCCACATCCACATGGTGAGTATCGTCCAAAGAGAAATCATCTGGGTGGCATCCAGTGTGGTGAGGCCCTGATCTGCACAGAGCTATTTAGCGCTGTCGTACTGCTGATAGACAGGTAATATACAATTTGGGAAGTCTGGTGCTTTGTGTGGAGCTGGGCTGTGGTAGAACATTTGTTTTCATTCAGGCAAAGAACTAAACACTTGTTTTGTGTGAATAAATTGCTGATCCAGTACCATTTCCCTTATTTGCTCTGTTTCATACACTTGCCATTCAAGAGTACCTTGTGCCTAACTGTCTGATGCTTTCTTTGTGGTCCTTCCCCAGGACATGGTGCCCGTCATAGTCGAGTACTGCCTCTTACTTCAGCGCACGTAAGTGGCAAGCCTGCTTGCCTGTCTTCAGGTTAATAGCCATATGGATTGCTGCTGCAGACCACCCCAGTGGCCCCTTCTGGTCCTGCATGTGGCCTTTCATGATACTGTAGTTATGCTTTTCTAGGAGGTGAAAAACACCTCATAACTGGTCATTGTATAGTAACTTGTTGAAACTGGAAAGTTCCTTTTAAACTCTCAATTATGCTGAATTAGGACAGCTTCTGTGTTTTAACTCTGCCTAATCTAACTGGATTTTCTTATTATCCTTGTAAATGGTCCGGCTGTCCATGAATTACAGCTGTAAACTTGCATCTGATCTGGGCTCAGCGGGTTTTTATGGTGGATGAATCCCTATAGTAACTCGCACCTTTGTTCTAGATTTTTTTCCTTGTATCCCTGTGAAATGGATTCAACAGGCTTTTCTTTTATGACTGTTGCATTTCCCTGGCACTGTCCAGTCCATTGAGCAAACAGCTACTCTACCTAAAGTATATATTCACTTTTAAACCCATTGGGTGAATTATTAAACTACAGTTTCAGTCTAATATAAGGGCAAGAGAATGATGCTTTCTTCCCTTTTCTAGTGAATCAGCTCTGGCCTGCTTAGAACTTGCTTAGTTCTACAGCTAGGCGGGTCAGACAGGATAGAGGTTCTGGGTTGTCTTCCGCTTCCTGTAAAACTGCAGGGTTATTTCTATAATTGGGTTTGCCAACAAACCAGGGTTACCTGGCTTTAACTAGACAAGCTTAGCTAGAGAAACTGCCTGCTGGGATGGGCTCTGGTGTGGCAGTATTCAGATGTTTACGCTAGCTGAGTTTATTCCTTTTGGAAAGGGAAATAAGCTATACCACTTTACCTGTGTCCTCATTAGTTACACTGGCACAACTCAGATTTTGGTTAAAAAAAGAATAACCTTTCACCACTGATATATCCCTCTACAAAAACTGCATGGACCCTAGTACCTCTTTGCCTGATTTCAGAAGCTACTGTTATCAAATTAACTTGACTTCATGCTCTTTTTTTTGCAGGAAACTTTTGAGTTTCCCTTCTAAAAACTACAGCCTCATTAGCTAACAACTATGAAGAAGCTAAACTATGCCTGCATGGGGGTAGCCCTTGTTAAGCTAAGGAATGCCAACTATTGTGGGTTTTTTTTGATGACCTGATCATCAGGCAGTTAAACCATTTCATGGATCTTTCATTTTTATGGGTTGTTGAGCATTTGTCACTCTTTTTCTTGTTAGGGATCTTTTATTCAGCCAGGTGTATGACAAGATGAGTGAGAATTCTGTGGCCAAAGGGATCTTCCTGGAGTGCCTGGAGCCATACATTTTAAGTGGCAAGCTGATGGGAATGACAGCTCAAGTGATGAAAGACTTGCTGCTTCACTTCCAAGATAGGAACCTGTTGGAGAACATGGAGGCCTGCATTGTGCACATGGATATCACCAGCCTTGACATACAGCAGGTGAACCTCCCCAGGAAAATGCTTCCTGGAATTTCCTCTGAGCAAGAGAGAGCTATTATTTAAGGCAGCATCCTTCACAGCAGCTTAGAAGGTCAAGCTGGACATGTTTTTCAAGTGAAACTACACCCACACCCTTCATTGTCAAACCAGCTTAATAAAATGTCTCTAAGTGTGTGGTGTTTAGGCTGGGGCCACTTGTGCCCTCAAGTGTGACTGTATTGAAAATATATGATTGATTGATTGTGAAATGAAGCTGTGCTCTGTGCACAGCATCATCTAGCTTTTAGACCAAAGCATATGAATTGGGCCGCTTACTCTAAGGAGTAAATAGGGAGGCATGGCTTCTCTGAACCCTGGTATGCCCTCTAACAACTACCATCTCTTCAGTCTCTGCTTAGCAGCTTACTGTGGCCAGGTCTTCCGTTGTATGGTGGGTAGGGAAAAGATAGCATGGGGCACCAAGGGGCAAAACAGTTATGCCAGTTGAAAACAGGGTGGGGGCTTACTGCAGTTGAATTGGTTATAATGGTTTTTTTATCTGTCCTATAAGTGAAGCTAAGCTACAGTATACCACTGGTTTCATTTGAGGGAAATTACTGTAATTCAGCTTAATTTACTTTGGAACAGGAGCAGATAGACAAAATGGTTACAGCTACATTACAGTACAGCTATAGGCACACTTTAGTAGTCGTATAATAGTTAATCTCTCTACATCCTCTGGCTGCTCCATTGCTTACTTCTCTGTTGAGCAGCGAGAGTCCCGCAGAGAGCAGAATAGGAGCTTGGCTGGGTTGGCATGAATCTAAGGGGCTCCATAGCAAAGGGTGGATTCCCTCCTTTACCCACAGCCTCCAGGAGAAGCCAGTAGAGGGCATAAGAGGAGAAGCTAAGTGCCAACCCTAGTCATTGCCACTCAGTTCTCTGCCCTGGCACAGGCTGGATCTTGGTCTGCCCTCCATGCTGACTAGTTGGGTGCCAACAGTTTGGTGAAAGAGTTCACCAACCCAATACCAAGAGATTTGACCTCTCATCCCCTTGCTTCAGATTTTAGTACTGTTGAGAGAGGACCTGGATTCCTCTTTCCAGAACCACAGCCAGACCATGGATGCTCTAATTTCATGTGGGCTGTCAGCAATGAGCAAGGCACTTGCTTCCAGGGGTTTGAATTCTGCAAGAGTCAACTCCTGCCTTTGGAAAAAAGTTTTTTCTGCAATTGGGTAGGGTAAACATTAAGCACAGACCTTTCTCTTAGGGGTACAGGAGGAGAAACTGGAATGCTGCTGAAAGCTGTTAAGCTGTGCTGCTCAAGGAATCTCTAAATCTGCTTTATTCACCCATAGGTGGTTCTTCTTTGCTGGGAAAATCATCTCTATGATGCCATGATCTATGTCTATAACAGTGGAATGAACGACTTCCTTAGTCCAATGGAGGTAAGAAGGCTATGTGTGGTCCCCAGCACTGCTTTTTAACTCTTCCCATCTCCCCTTTTGGTTCTCCTGCCACCATTCCACCAGACGCAAGTGCTATCTACACATCTAACCTTTTTTTTGAATTCCACTAAAGTATTTGTGAAGTCAGTGCCTGCCCTTGCCTGTGGCTTGGTGTGCCCAGCCCTGGTATAGTATGTGTCCTCTGAGTTGGCAAATATTGCCTGTTCCTTATATTTTGAGCAAGGTAACTCTGCATCTCAAATCTCAGCATATCTAGTAGCGTCGAAGAGGTACTCATAGTGTGCAGAAGTGCTGGTCTCAGTGTGCTTGAATCCTGCCGTGACTTTTAAAACAAGCAAATGGATTCAAATGAAAAATGTAGAAGAAATGTGACATCAGGAGATGGGTTGAAGGTTGTAGTATGAACTGCTTTGTAGCCTGGTTGCTAATGGCCGTGCTGCTGATGCTGTTAGTGTACCCTATGTCACATCTTGCATTTTTGCACAATGGGGCTTCCATATTTACAGGAATGTGAGTTTGCCCCTCTCTTTGTACCCCACACCATACAAGGTTCTTTTGTCTTCTGGGTTCCCTGCTCTCTTTGTTATCTCCAGTGTCAATGGATCCATGTACAGAATCATACAGAACTGGAACAAGAACAGCCTCTGCCTGGTGGCAAGATTTATTTCCTGTGCCGGGCATATGACCCAGTATTGATACAGCATGATGCCATTATGGTACATGCTACTGATGGCATCTGTTGTATCCAGACCTGATAGTGAGTGCTCTTCAGAGAGAACACTTCAGATCTCAGTGTGCTTATTATAAAGGCTTTGGTAGTGCCTACAAAATGATGGTGAAATTTGTAGTTACAGTGAGCATTATATCCTTAAGTGTGTGTAAAATCTGTCATCCAATTTATAACACTTCAGCTTGGAGTTAATTTTCTGTGAAACTACAAGTGAATCCTGGCTGACTTAGGAGGTAGTAAAAGAGGATGCTTTGAATTCTAAACTGTCTAAAATTTCCTTTGCTTCTGTTTCACTAACTGGCTTGCTTGTTAAGAGCTCACAGATTAGGCCCATGTAGCTGTAGAAACTCCCACAGGAGAGGATGGCTTTATAGCACTGGAGATTTTGAAAGCAGTGGAGTGGAGGTTAACCATTAATTTTACTGGAAGACATGGCAGGCACTGCCTTGGAAATTTCAGCTTGCATTTCAGCATTATTCATTAGAACGGTTTCTCTCGAAGCTGGTGTATAATGGCTTTACAAGCAATGCATCCTGTGACCTGGTAAGTGGATTGTTCAAACATACAGTGCTCTACTGCCTGCACCATCTGCACAGCCACAGTTCCTTACCAGCCCCTCAACCTCCATTGCCTACCTCCCACTGACTTTTATACCAATGTCTTCATGTCCCCATTTGACAAACCTCTACAGCTCCTTGTGGGCAAATCCCAGCTAGTTTCTCAAGCAGCCCAAAGCCCTTCCTGGTGGAATTGCAAACAGTGCTTTCCAAAGCAAGAAGGTTCTTTTGCTCTCTGTTCAGGACACGGGTGCTGGAGGAGAAGGGTGCTACAGGTAACTTTTGTCTGGTCTCCCCAAGAAGATGAGGTGTGGTGGCTTCCTGGGGAGGCACATTTTGTGGCTGCTTGAACTTGCTGTGTGTAGAACGCAGAGCAACACAGATCTAACAAACTCAAGTGGGTTCTTGGTTTGGGGCTTGTTCTACTGAGTCTGGCTGGTGGTTGGGAGGTTTGTAGGGGTCAGAGGAGAAACAGCGAGGCCGAGTAGGCGTTAGGAGTAGGGGAGCAGAGCAGGTCAGTGGTGGTTTCTCCTGCTGTAAAACTTGGGGAGAAACTAGAGTTTGCCCTCCACTTGGAGGTATCTCCCCAAGAGATACAAGTTATAAAACCCATAAGTTATAAAAGGCATAGTCACGGGGTGAATCCAGGTGGGATGCAGTTGCACCCCTCTTTGATTTCTGCTCCACCCAAAGTTTAAAACCAACTGCCTAGCAGTGGCAACAGCATTTCTGTCCAGGCAGCAGTGAGGGAGTCACTGGACTTCATGGCTCATGGTAATCTACCTGGTTCCTTCTGAACTTTCATTCCACAGGTGTTAAGACCTCTGTCTTTTTTTTTTAATGGTCTTGATGTTCCATAATCAGGCTGTCTTTTCTTTTGCAGTTCTACTGTCTGTTAGCTGCCCCAGATAATGTAGCTCCCATTTCACAGCCCTGCACACTGTTTTTAACTAGCTAAAAGTATAAACTCAAGTTAATGCAGGTGAACATTGACTCAGGTGTAGAAATGACTTTCAGTGAGTGAAGCATTTGATGTACTGTCAGCATGCTCAAGAAGGCTAGATTTTGTTTTATGAATCTGCAAGAGATGTGGATGTAATTCTAATGACAACAGGATTAAAGAAAAAAATCTTTTAATTTTATTTTTGCATAGTTTCTTGTGGGTTATTTTAATACATAATATATGATATAGCAAAATAATTCACTTTCTGGTAAAGTTATATTTGTTTTTGCTTTGATTTAAACTGTAGTGCTAGGCATGTAGCATGTTAATAAAGCTAGTTTCTATTTACCTGGATAAAAATGTGTGTTGTGTTAATATATGATGAGGCATCACACCATCTGCATCCCCCTTTTCCAAAATCCTACATCCACCCATGGTTAGAAGGCAGGGCAGATTTGAATCTTCTAGGCTAACCACTTCATCAAGTGTATATGTGTACACACCCACACACACTTTGGTTATATTATAAGGTGCAAATCACCCTGTCTTTACATAAGCACTGAATTATTATGAAGCAATGAAAGTTCACCAGACGAAGCTTCATTCTGATGAGCCTGGGAGGTCCATTTGATGAAGCTAGTCTGGTAATATCATAGCATGATTGTTAGATAGAGAAAAAGCCTAGCTAACATTAACAGACAAGGTTCTTTGGGTAAATGTGATATCTTTTATTAGACCAACTGAATAGTTGGAAAAATTGTTCTTTACAAGCCTGAGCCCAAAAATCTAACATGAAGATGTTTGGGCACCTTTCCCTTTCATGCTCTCTCCTGTTGTAAAACCTGGGGAGAAACTAGAGTTTGCCCTCTCTTGGGGAGGCACTTCCAAGTGATACAAGTTATAAAACAAGTTGTAAAATGGCATTGCTTTGTTCTCATTGGTCTGATACTGAGATTTTTTCTTTCCAATGTTGTTTCAGAGGTTGTTCAAAGTCATCGCTCCTCCACTGAATGCTGGGAAGTCTCTCACAGGTACTGAATACTTTTTTTAAGGACTTGTGACTTTGATACTGTTGGGCATTTCTAGTACTTTTTGTCATCTTAAACCTATCTATTCCCTGATAACTTCTAACGTAGAGAGGTGAGAGGGAAAATGGTGTCACAGTTTGAGATTTCAGACTTAGGATGTATTTCCAGTCTGTTCAAAGTTGCCTGCCTGCCATTTCTAGGTTGTTCAAGCAACTAACTTTCTAGTACAAGCAGGCTGCAAAGATGGATTTTTTTTCCATATGCCATAATTTTTATATAGAAGACTGTACTCTAAGATCACTTTTACTGCGGATAAAATTATATACTCTGGCAAATGAGATTTCTCTCCATCTTCTGTAAGCAAAGATTATACATTGTTATGATTAGCTGTTGGGAGAAAAAGTGATCGGTGGCTTTTTATGTGTTTTAGATGAGCAGGTTGTGATGGGCAACAAGCTTCTAGTCTATATAAGGTAAGAGACTTTCAGAATGTATATGGGTAGCGTGGTGGTGTTTAGTGGGCTGCGTGTCACGTGTTTATGTTGTTATGGAGGTACTAATCTTCCTGACACCTCTGTAACATGCAGCTGGTGGAATTTTGTGTCTTTGTCTTGCGTTTGACTACATGTTCCTAGTGATCATGGCTGTCCATTCACTCCATGAAAAAGAGTACAATCTTCCTTGGGCCACTAATTTAACATAGGGAGAAGTGCAGCGACTCGTGGTTTCACACCCTCCAAGTGGCATAGTGGGATTAAAATTCTGGTGTTTCTGACTCTTCCTTCTGCTTATCTCAGGCTGGAAACAGATGTTGCCTTTGTGCCACTGTAAACGTTTCTTTGGTGGTACAAAGGCCAAGCAGATGGACATCTTTGTCCCTTGTTGTTCCACAGGTGCCCAAAACGTGGCAATGACAATAGATGTTTGGATTCATAGATGTTTGGAGCTGGAAAGGACCGCACGAGGTTGTCAGGTCCAGCCCCCTTGTGCTTGGGCAGGAAAAACTCTTGGGGTCAGATGACACGAGCAGTATACACTTGTGCTGCTGTTTAGCAGCAGATGTTTGTTTGCTTTATGGCAGGAGAACATGGGCAGCCTGGAGCTGACTGCACTCTCCTGTTACCCTGGGCAGGTGCTCCTGGGCCTTCAAGGGCCTGTTCCTGGGGTGCACATGGTCCTCTATTTGCAGAGGTATGTCCTGGGATCTCCAGCAGGGTTTTACTTGGGCACATATCTGCATGTGGGGTTCCCCTGTTTGCAGATATCCTACAGGATTGGACCCTCGGAGTGGCAGGTGCCCGACCCTGTGGGTCAACAGGTGACATCTGTGTTATTGCATCTTGTTATCTATGACAAGTCCTGGCATAGTTGATCTGCTTCATTTGGCAATGCCTGTTTATAGCCTCACAAGGCCATAGGAGAAGCATTTGTACTACCTTCAGCGTGTTGTATTAGAGCAGTAGTTTTCAACCTTTTTTCATTTGCGGGCCCCTTTGGAAATTTTGAATGGAGATGTAGACCCTTTTGAATGGTAAGTGTGGGTATTCACATACTTTTGATTAATCATAGTCCTCTTTCACAGGCCCCTTAGATATAGTCTTTGGACCCTTAGGGGTCTGCAGACCACAGGTTGAAAACCCCATATTAGAGGCTTGGTCCCAGTGTCCCTTCAGCAGTATCCAGAGCAGTGTGTTCCACCTGCTCTAGGGCTGCATAGCTCAGAAAACCATATTTTATCTCTTGAGATATCACTCCAGGACGATGCTATGATCTAAGTGCAGCTTGTTGTAATCCACTTTTGTGCATCCTCCTCAGTTGTCAGTCATTTGTATGGGACTGTCATCATTGTGAGACTGTGGAGTGGTGGCTAATGATTTATTCCATCCTTGGGAAATCTGAGCAAGCCAAATCCAAGACTGTGGCATCTCTGAGGAGATCCAGTGCTCTCCCAGTGCTGTTCTGAGGAACTGCAAGTTTTCCACCTCCTGCTTCTGACACTGTGTAGCTGGTGCTTCTTGTTGTGTTCAGTGCACAGGGATTTCTCTGGGATGACAACACTGCTGTCCAAGATGCAGGCTTAGCCATTTGCTGATGCTTTGAGAGAGGTTTTTTTTTTTAATTTGTACAGAACAGTAGGCACGTTGGAAGAGACTGTTGCTGTTCAGGTGCTTCGGGACCTGGGGGTGCTTTGGCAGTGTTTTGCTTGTAACCCTGGCTTCTGTGCTTCCCCGCAGCTGCTGTTTGGCAGGTCGTGCTTACCCGTTGGGTGATATTCCTGAAGATCTGGTTCCCTTGGTTAAAAACCAGGTGAGGACACTCACTCTAATGGCTGTTTGGTGTAAGACAATAAAGTGATTCCTTTACCTCTTTTTGCACTGGATAGGTTTGTGATAGAAAACTGCTGCAGCTAGGGGCCCTGCAGTCCTGTGAACCCGTAACACACTCTTATGATCACTGTAAAGTGGTGTGAGCAAAACTAGCACTGAGCTTTAATATTTGCTCTTCCCTTGAAGAGTAAGTGGTTAAATGCATGCAGTTGTTCTTGCACCAGTTTCTAAGCAGACTTTGGAAACTATGGGCAGTGTGGTACCTGTAATGGTGGCAGAAAGAACCAAGGAGCAGGCAGGCCTGTTCTGGAGAAGGCCCAGCCTACAAATGAATAAGACCTGCTAATTAGGATGGAGTCACAGCTGGGAGGTTTTGGAGAGCTCCCAGAAGGGGAGAGGAGAGTCATGGGAGGGGAGGTGAAGGAACTATTACTGTAGCCTGACTGCATCTCATGAGCTCTAATGAGAATCCATTTGAACCTCTCAGAGTAGTGTCCCTATTCTTGCAGTGTCTATGCACCAGAAAGATCCCTGACCTGTGGGTTTTCATCCCTGAGCTACAGGGCAAATAAGCTTGCGGTAATCTTGCCATCATTGTAAAAATTAGGTTCTGTTCCTAATTAAGTCAAAAACTGGTCTGCTGACTTAATTGTTCTCGTAGCAAAAGCCCTAAGGAGTCTAGTATAGTTTGGGAGAACTTGGGGAAGACTGAGGCCTGTAGAAACTTGTCTCCAAAAACCAATATGGCAGAAGGACAGTTGTCTCCTGAAGTTTCTGCTGCACACTCCACAAGGGGAGTAGCCATCTCTTAGGCTGAAAGGCTAAGGCTCCCCCTCCTTAAGTAGGCTGCTGTTGCTTTGTATTCCCCATATCAGTATTCAGTTTGAGGTAGAGAGGGAGCAAGTGACTTGAGAGCTGATGATTTTTACTTTTTAAATGCCATACATGTGTATGTGTGTCTGTGTACACAGCATTGACTCCTTCAGGTATCCAAAAAAGACGTTTCTTTGCCACTATTTAGCTTGAAAGACACAGGTTTCAACAGTCTTTCCAACGTCCCCTCCCCACCCTGCCCTAATTCTGACTGACTTCTGACTGCTCAAGAAACTTCCATGTCAGATGTCGGCTAGCTCTAAATGCTGTTTGCTTGGCATCTTGTTGGGGTCAGAGCCACAAGGCAGAAAATCCAGTTTTTTTTCTGAAGATCTGTTGTGAAATGACCTGACCTAGTTATGCACGTTTATCTGCTCAGCTCTTATATCTATCGTGTAAGGCCTGGCCTCTCTTGGTCTGCTATCTGGTACATGTAAATCAGTATGGTCTGCTCCGTGATTGGGTTGTCAGCAACTAAACCAGCGCCCCCACATCTGCTAGCTTGGGTGAGGAGGGTGTGTGGACACCCAGCAGGACTAAAAACAAGACCTGTTAAAGAGCAGACGAGCTCCCTACGAGCCAATGGCCATCCATACCTAGAGAAGAGATGGGTGCCACCAGGTCGCTGCCTGAAGAATCACCAATGATGCAAAGGAACTCAACTGACCTAGGGTTCATAGATTCATAGATGCTAGTGTTGGAAGGGACCTCAACAGATTGAGTCTGACCCCTGCCTAGGCAGGAAAGAGTGCTGGCGTCAGATGCCTATCCAGCCTTCTCTTGAAGACCCCCAAGGTAGGGGAGAGCACCACCTCCCTTGGAAGCCCATTCCAAATTTTGACCACCCTTACTGTGAAGAATAATTTCCTGTCGTCTAGCCTAAATCTATTCTCTGTCAGTTTGTGACCATTGCTCCTTGTTACCCCAAGAGGTGCCCTGGTGAACAGAGCATCTCCGATCCCTTGGTGCATCCCCCTAATGAATTTGTAGGCAGCCACAAGATCACCTCTCAGCCTTCTCTTGCGGAGGCTGAAGAGGTCCAGGTCCCTTAGTCTCTCCTCATAGGGCTTGTCCTGTAAGCCCCAACCATACAAGTGGTCTTTCTCTGGACCCTCTTGAGGCTATCCACATCCTTCTTAAAGCATGGCCCCCAAAATTGGATGCGGTACTCCAACTGCGGTCTGACCAAAGCCACATAGAGGGAAAGTATGACCTCCTTGGTTCTATTTGTCGTGCATCTGCTGATGCATGATAAAGTGCGGTTAGCTTTGCTGATGATTTTGTCACACTGATGACTCATGTTCATCTTGGAGCCCACTATGACTCCAAGATCCCTTTCTGCTTCTGTGCTGCTGAGAGGGTCAGTTCCTACCCAGTAGGTGTGCTGGTTATTTTTACGTCCTAGGTGCAGCACTCTGCTTTTGTCCTTGCTGAACTGCATCCTATTGTGTTGTGCCCACTTTTCCAACCTGCCCAGGTCTGCCTGCAATAGTTCTGTACTCTCTGGAGTGCTCACTTCACCCCACAATTTAGTATCATCCACAAACTTGTACAGAGTGCACTTCACACCCACATCCAAGTCGCTGATGAAGACATTGAAGAGTACAGGTCCAAGGATTGACCCCTGTGGGACCCCACTACCCACGTCCTTCCAGGTCGATACTGACCCATCTACTACCACTCTCTGGGTGTGACCCTCCCCAAGCCAATATGCCACCTACTGGACCGTGTAAACATGTATGTCACACCCTCTTAATTTATTTGTGAGAATGGGATGAGATACCACATCGAAGGCCTTCCTAAAATCCAAGAAAACAACATCCACCTCTACTCCTGCATCTTAGTGTTTTGTGACCTGGTCATAAAACAAAACCAGATTGTTCAGGCATGCTCTACCTGCTACGAATCCATGCTGGTTGCCCTGCTACGTTATTTTCCTGCTGGACTCGCACAAATATGATCCTTAATAATCTTTTCAAAGACCTTTCCAAGGATGGAAGTGAGACTGACTGCCCTATAATTACTCAGATCCTCCTTCCTCCCCTTCCTGAAAATAGGGACCACATTGACCCTTTTCCAGTCCTCCGGGACCTAACCAGAGCTCTATGAGCACATCTTTTGTTATAGCATCTAAGGTGCCCCAACAGTTGTAGCAGCCTCAGGACTGACTTGACTTGACTTCTATCTCTATTATAATAATAATAATAATAATAATAATAATACTGGCTTGTGTAATGACAGGAAGGTGGTGAAGGGTGACATTTCCTGTATCCCCAAAATGCATAAATTGTTTTAAATGGTGCCTCCTCTGGGGTTAATGCCATTTTTAGCCTGTAACATATTGCTTGTAACTGGATTTTGATAGCTTCCAGGTTCACTGCTGTTTTCTGGAGGGGCTGCTTTGCATATGGTATTTCTGTAAACTCTAAAATGCCTCAGAGAGCTTACAAGCCTGCTGCCTTTCAGGAGAGGCATCTGAAAAAGTGATCTGACTTTTTGCCAGAGGTGGTGAACACCTGCAGCTCCTAGTTATGGCACTGGGGAACAACATCTCTGAAAATCAGACATTTATGTGGTGCCTAAATATGGATACAGCTGCCTGACTTCAGGCACTTGAGTGTTAAAAGGTTGGCCTTAATCACTTCTGCTCCCTGCTTGACTTCATCAGTTGGGGGCCTACAGAGATGATCTTGGCTCATACCAGTGAGCACCAGTAATGTAAATGTCAATAATTGGGTAAGAGCTTTGAAGAGACCCTGGGGTATTTTAAACTGATCTGCTTTGCTTATAATGATGCTGCCTGCTCATTGAACTTATGCTGAAATTCTCCCAGACTGCATGAGGAATGGCAGTAAACGCCAGAATATTGTGCTATGAAATCAGACTGTACTTTAAGCTGCCTAAACAGGTAATGTCCTATTCTGTTTTAGAATGGTTTGGAGCTAACTTTTGTCAGGCATTCAAATGCTGACGGTTAAGGCATAAAAGGAAATCATCGTTTCTTGCCTGACTCTCTCTCTTTCAGATCTTTGAATTTCTTATCCGCCTCCACTCGGCTGAGGCATCCACTGATGAAGAAGTTTATCCCTATGTTCGTACGCTGCTGCACTTTGACACCCGGGAGTTCCTTAATGTCCTTGCACTGGTAAGAGGCAATTCAGGCCCCACTGGGAGAGGACAAAGCCAGTGCTTCTCTTGGGCTGTCACAGGGCAACTTTTTAAAGAAAGGGATGCTTTAGGTAAGCTAGAAAGTACTTGGTTTGATGCAGAAAACCCTTGGTGAAGCTCTCTGGGTGACAACAGGCATTGCTAAACAAAGCAGATCAGCTCTGGTGAGAGGTGCCCTGCCACAGCTCATCCACTTTGTTGGGTAAAATTTGTGATGCCTGTTGCTCTGCATCACACCCCTGCCAAGTGCAGGACAACATGCAAGGTGTTTTCCTTGTCCCTATGTCCCTCACTGCCCTGTGCCTCCTTGCCAGGTCCTGTGCCAGCCCCAGCCTCTGCTGGTATCCACATCAGGTCCCATGCTGCCCTGTGCTTCACACAGAGGCACAGGTCAAGGTGGGTCCTGGGCCTCCTCACTTAGAGAGCGCCACCTGGAGTTTCTCTGGGATGTCTCTGTAAGCGGGGGAAGCTAGACAGGTTCTCCTGGGAGGTGAGGGACCAGATCCTGCATGGATACTCCTGGGGTGCAATTGGGACCCCCAAGTTTCCAGACAGCGGTGAGAGAAATGCTTGCGCTTAGTATCCAGTGCACCCTGGCACCCTCCCCACCTCCACACACATGTTGGCATTTTGTTTGTGGGAATAACACTGGAGGAGAGTCTACAGAAACCAGTAAAGAATATTATGGAACACATTCTCTCCTCTTCTGTAGACTTTTGAAGATTTCAAGAATGACAAGCAAGCAGTGGAGTATCAACAGAGAATCGTGGACATCCTGCTAAAAGTGAGTGCAACCAAGCCTTGGATATCTTCACTACAAAGTTAGTATGAGTTATAACCCAGGTGTTGCCCCTGGCTGCCTTTCCACATGTGGAAAAGCCTCTAACCAGGGCTTGAGGGTGCTATAAACCCAAGCCAGCAGATGTGGCTGAGGGTATAGGCTTGGGCTCAGGTTTCACTTCAGCAGCCTGAGCTGATAGACCACTTGCTTTGCCGTGAGCATGTAAGTTAAATTAAACAGAGGGACTGTTAGTTCTCCAGTCCTGTCTTATAACTTCACTTGGGTTGTACTTGCATGTCCAGCTCCTCTTTTCTGCACTTTTCTAAACTCCTCTTTGCCCACTCCATTCATGCTACACTTCCACAGTATTCACAGTAACTTGCCAGCCAACAAATCCTCCTCTTTTGCTCCCAGAAGCTAACCACCAGCCTTCTGATAAAGCTGTGCTGTTGAATCAGTGAGACCTTTAATTTGTACCATCGTACCCCCAATGACATTTTTATCATTGGTGGACAGGAAAGAAATAGCAAGGCAGAGCTGTCTGTCCAGGGTGCTACCAGATGACTAGGTTAGCTGACTAGTTCCTTAATGACTTTCTTGTTAAGTCTTTTGCTGCCAAGTGCTGTTTGCTCTTGCCTTCAGAACTGTCAGCTCTAATAACAAGCAGCTCCACTTGGTGGCTATTTATGTAGTTTGCTTCTCTTGACACAGCTGCAGATGGCAGCTTTGTACCAGGCCAGAGAGAGAGCCCCGCACCTTGGGGATGAATAGGTAGAGTGGCCCTGTTTCATGCGCTGCTAAGAACTGTGGGATTTTCCAGCCTGGTGTGGTACAGCACCACTGTGGATATGCTTACATGGGTCTGACACAGGTCAGTCTTTGCAGGGGCTGAGCAAATAGGTGCACTTGGGTGGCCTATTTAGGCATGTAAGTGTACTTAAGTGGCTAAGTGCTCTCTTATTCTACCTGGATCGAGTCCCTGAAAAAAGGAGCAAAAGGTGGGTGGGTCTTCCTCCGCCTCACGGCTGTTTCATGGCTCTGTCCCTTAGGTCAGATGTCAGAAGTGCTACAAAGTAAATTCATTAATGGATTTTCAAGGACTTGAATAGGGTGGAACAGAATTGCACTTAAATGCCCAGCTGTCTGTGCTCAGTGCTGCACTTCATACCTTAGTGGCTGTCAGTTGGACACCCCTTCACCATGCCTCAGGTCCTTTCTCACAAACAGAACCTCAGCTTGAGATTTGGCTGGCTGTATCAGGCTGTTTGCTCTGATACAAGCATTGTACTGATTCTGACACTGTCCCTGAGCCCCATCTTTCGGCATCTCTCACAGATGGCATCTGAACTGTCCTTAGTGGGGCTTGGAGACTTAATTTTTCCAGTCTTGTTGCCATCCACACGATGAGAGTAGCCCTCTAAGAATGGCTTGGAAATCTCTCTCATGGCAAGATGGGTGGGTACTGAGCCACAGGCTGGCATTCTGCTACAGGCGCAGACCTCTAAGAATTTCAGTGGAGAACGTATTGATTTTTCTAGGGTAATTCTAAATGTGAAGCACCAGTGTCCTTGTTGCCCTGCACCTGAATTAAAGATTGCAAAGCCAGGAAACAGGTCTTGAGGGTGAAATACATTGGCTGACTAGATCCTTCTTAATTCCTCACCTGCCAGGGGATATAGAGGGGCTGCTTGGTGAATTCCTCTCTCATGATCTAGCTTTTATCCTTATGAAGACTGCCAAGGGCAGATACAGACATAAAGGAAGCGAGGCCTCATGGTACTCCTAGCCAAAAATGATCAGTGCTGCCCTCAACCCTAGCAACAGCTGCAATTCACTGGTGCTGCCCAGCGTGTATAAAGCTTGGAGGAGTGTGAGATCCATGGGAAGAAAGAATCTGGATGAATGAGGTAAGCTCAGTTACACTGAGACTGGGCACAGGTTCATGTGTGTCCTTCATTAGACTTCAATTCTAAGCATTTAGTACAGCCTGGAAAACAGGCAGTGCAACTACTTGTTAGTGGGGCGCCTTGGCAGATAAAAGCCAGCCAAGAAAACAGAACAGACGGTCTGAGAATCTGAGCTCTGACAGGGAATTGCTGTTCTAAATGCTAGTGCAGCTGGTATGTTTTGGGTGGAAGTCAGCCTTGCTAGTGGAAAGCCTGCCTGTCTTCAGTAATCATTTTATGTAAACTGAGTGAGTAAATGACTTGAGAGATGGAGCTGTGTCAGCATTGGGGCAGAGAGATGAGTGAGAATAGAAGAGGTGGAGAGTGGAACTGGGATGGAAGAGAATGTAAGACCACCTAGCAGGGGGGGAAGAAGGGACCCATCTAAGCCCAGCAGCAAGCAGCAGTTTGCTGTTGTTGGCTGGTATATGGAGGAGGTGGATAGCTAATCTTGCAAGGAAAGGCAGCCGGAAGAAGCAGAGCAGGTCAGGGGGCAGCTACAAAGGTCCAGAGTTTCCAGAGCTCCAGCATCCTTTGATGCTTTATTCTTCCACTAGTGAAATGGCTCGCTGAAGTGACAGGAGTAGGGTCTGAACCCTACCCAGAAGCTGTGCTATTTCAGTCACAAGCCCAGGGAAGATCAGGTTTTGAAGGTCCATCATGTCTGAGTGTACCTTGGTTTCACTTTCAAAATCAAGTGCTGCCTTTTCTGCCTCTGCTGTGCAGAAAAGCTGCTCTGCAGGTGACCGGAAAATGGTGGCTTTTGGAAACCCTCAGAATACTTCCCATAACAATGAATTGTTGTTTTCTCTAACTTGAGTGGGTTTGAGAGACAGTATCTAGGAGGGAGATCTTTCTCATAGGGGTCAGGTGCTGTACACATGATGGGACAGGAATGGCCAGAACACGTATGCTAACATGCAGTATCACTTCCAAGTTAATTGCGCTCTGCTCTATTTTGGAAACCCAGGCATGCTTTCATATACTTCCATTAAAAAAAAACAAATGAAAACCCCCAAAATAGACAAATTCATCCAGTACCAACCCCAAGTGCATGGGGCAAGTCAGGAACCATACACAACATGAAGAGAATACTCTTCCCCACTGCCCCCCTCCTTGGATAAAAGGACTCAACTCAAGATAAAACCACTTCCCTATAAGTCTTGGAGTAAAAGGCAGGAGATGCTGCCTCCCCAGCTTGCACTCTGAAGATTAGAAATGTTGTACTCCACCAGAGAATCTAAAATCTTGATGAATTGCAGGCAAAGGGGAAAGGCTTGGCATTCATATCCGCTTCCAAAATACAACACTTCTGAGCAGGACAAGAGAGTCAGGTATGTTCCTTCCCCCATTTTGGAAGAAAAGGTTCTTATAGCTCCCCAACTGACTCGCAGGGGGGCAGGAAACTCGAGATGCAGTGCTCAAATACGCACAGCAGTCAGCAAGAGAGAAGTGAGGGGACCGGTGTGATAATTTCTTCCCCTACTCAGCTTCCTCCTTTAACTTCACCTCTGAGGCAGAGTAGGAACTATCTGAACCTGGTGCTGTCTCGGGTGCTTAGGGGTTTGGAACATAAAACAGCCTGTGAAGGTGAACTAGCAGGTGGATCAAGAGACAAAATGTGTGTGGCAAATACGTTTGCCACATGAAAATCATTTCCCTGTGCCTTGCATGTATTTTTTTAAAGCAACAGCCAAAGGCGCAGTCGTTTGAAGGCAGAGAGTGAGGTACCCTTGGAAGCACAGAAAAGAATCCAACTCTTTTTTAGAAATGCTCTAGTACTGTAGAAATTCTGAAATTTTGCATGTTGTGCCTTGATGTTGTGGTGAAAATACTACATGTTTAATGATAGGTTTGGACATGTTTGGTAGCACTAAAATAACCAGGCTTCTTAAGGCCCTTGTTCTAAAGGCACCCCACGTGAGCAGAACAATAGTACACACAATCAAAAGGCTGCTGAAAACTTAGAAAAGTCTGTGTTACCTTTGGTTTGTACTGAACAAGTGTTGGGTCTTGTTTTCATTCAGTGCACATCTTTTTTTTTTGTTGGGCAAAGAGCTGTTCTGATGCTGCTTCAAAGGTGGATGATCATTGAGTTATAAACACTAGTGCAATATTTACAGTTAGAGAAGTTTTTTTTTAAAAGCCTGTTGACCCCTCGTTTTGCATTAAATAACTGAGCTAGCTGCCTCTAAAATATTCCTTAACTTTAAGTGTCAGAATTTCTACCCAAGCATCTTTTGAAAGGTAATGCAGTGGAAGCCAGGAAGGGAATAAAAACCTTGCTAAGCACTGTACTGATAAGCCCTAGCAAGCGCAGGTTAATATCTGCTTTACTTTGCAAGCTGTTGCTTCTGGACTCTACTAATAAATGGCATGCTGTGTTGCTGTCAGGTGCAGGTAGGCAGAAGGCAGTAAATGTGGTTTCCCTTGCTTGGGCTTTGATTGGTCTTTTTGTTTGGGCAGCAAGGGAATTGGTGACCATGTTCTGCAGGTGGTGCTCACATCCTGTCTGCAGGTGGCAGAATTGGAGTGCAAAATCTAATGAGGTGGTGATTCAGATCAAGCAAGGATGCATGAACCTCACATGTGTGATGACAGGGTCTAACTTGGCTTCAGCCAGCAGAAGCTGTGTCCTGTGTGTTACATACAAGCTCTTGGCTTGAAGAACAACTAGAATAGTTTCCTCAAACCCCAAATAAATTTGAGAAAGGGGGGGGGAAGATCTTTTTGTGATCTGGCATATATTTGGCTAGCAGGTGATGCTTTTGAGTTAGCAGGTAATGTTGTATCCCATACCACAGCCAGCAAAACCCTTTTCTAGAAAAGGAAGGCCCCCAAAAAGAGGGGGTTGATATTCTTTGACCCTTACAACAGAATAAGGCTCTGTTCCTTGACAAATTCCATTACTGTCTGTCTGCTTTGTAACAGTGAAAGTCTCACTAGAATCTTAGAAAATGAGGGTTAGAAGGGACCTCAGGAGGTCACAGCTAGCCCAACCCCTGCTCAAAGCAGGACCAGCCCCAACTAGATCATCCCACCCAAGGCTTTGTCTAGTCAGGTCTTAAAGACCTCCAAGGATGGAGAGTCCACAACCTGTCAGGATAGCCTGTTCCAGTGCTTTACTACACTCCTAGTGAGAAAGTTTGTCTTAATATCTAACCTCAACTTCCCTTGCTGCAACTTGAACCCATTGCTCCTTGTTCTGTCATCTGGCAGCACTGAGAACAGTCCAGCTCCATCCTCTTTTGAACCCCCCTTCAGGGATTTGAAGGCTGCTATCAAATCCCCTCTCACTCTTCTCTTCTCTAAAATAAATAAGTCCAGATCTCTCAGCCTCTCCTCACAAGTCATATCCCCCAGCCTCCAAACCATTTTTGTTGCCCTCTGCTGGACTCTCTCCAATTTATCCACATCCTTTCTATAATGGGGGGCCCAACAGTGGACACAGGACTCCAGATGTCACCTCACCAGTGCCAATTAGAGGGGAATAATCAGTTCCCTTGATCTGCTGGCAATGCTCTTGCTAATGCAGCCCACTACACCATTAGCCTTCTTCACAAGCAGGGCACACATCTCATGGGACTCATCTCAAACCCTGAAGCTCTTTAAGGAGCAGGTCACGCCTGGCCAATGAGTGGGCATGCTAGGGTGGAAAGAGCCTGAGAAAATTTCCAGTGTTTCTCTCAGGCATCTGAGTGGCCTGGAAGCAAAGATGCTCCTCTCTAATCAGACTGGAGTGCCTCTTTGGCATCCTCAGGCAGCCCAGCACCAAACTGGTACATGCTGCCTCTAGCATAAATCAGTCTTGTGTAGCCTGAATGGGTTTGATGAAAAGGGTCGCTGACTCACCACTTTGTACTCCTAGTGTCTTTGTATCCTATGTTATAAGCTTACCATTGTGTATATGCTAGTCTCACAAGACGTAGTGCTGTCTGGTGCACTGCTGAGGCCTGGCTGAGATTATTTTGCCACAAGTTCTGACTGAGAAGACAGGTTTGGTGATGCACCTGCCCAGCACAAAGCAGTTAAGTCCTCTATTGTTATTAGGGCTATCCAAGCAAAGTGTCCCATTAATTCCTGCCATTTATGGAATCTCAGGCACCATTCATTGGTTGAAGCCCTTCTGGTCGCATGCCCCTGCAACCCTCGTATGATAGATGGTGAGCATGCTTATGCTCATTAGATTCACACCCTGGCATACTGACTTTCCAACACCTACCTTGCTTGAGTTTAGAGCCACAATAGCATGGCCATGGGCTCCAGGTGCTGGGTGACCTGCAGCTAGCCAAGCAGGAAGAGCCTTTTCCTTTCACACAGGGCCTGGGGGTAGCGGCCTCAATGGGGCAGAGCCCCCCGATCATTCTGGGGTCTTAACTTGGTTCAGAATTAGCTGGGGCTTCACTGCTTCCTCTGTTTGTTCCAGGCATAGGTGACTATAGGTGTGACCAGGCACATACGAATTGGCATTATTTTTTATGCGTCTTGCCTTCACCTATACAAGCAGGGTCCAGAATGGCCCACTGAGGAGCCCCATTAAGCAGTTGTTCACCACCACGTGCTCCTGTTATCTGCCAAGGCTGGGTGGAGAGATGTGAGCAGGCATGAACTCCCTATGTACCAGTTGGAGCTCCCTCATTCAAGAAGGGCTGTCTAAATCGCTCTCTTTCTATAGGGCAAGCCTAGGTGCAGGGCCTCTCCAGACAGGCCAAGAGCCATAGCTCCTATGCCTAGGCAGGTTTCCCACCATGTTCTGCTCCCATCCTGTAACTTGGGTGGCACAAGCAGGTGGCCTCTGCCCCTAGATCCTCACTGAAGGGTCATGGGGAGGGCAAGGGATTGGTCTAGCTCCCATATCTTCTTCCTTTGTCATCCAGCACAGGGCCAGGGAGGTGGAGTGGCTGATGTGTATTGTGCTTTGACTGTTCTTAGTTGGTACACGGTCCTCTGTGGACTATTGATAGCTGGTGGCAGGTAGTCCTCTGGCTGTCCACACTTGGGCTGCAGCAGAGAACAAGGGGCTGTAATGGTTTGTCTCTCCTCAGTTCCACTTCTTCCTCTTACCTTGGGCTGCCCTCGCTAGCTGCATAGAAAAGGTGTTTGAGGGGATGTCATCCTTTAGTTGGTGCTCTGCTTGTGGCTCCCAGACCCAGCAAAGGAGGTGGTGGTGGGCTTCAGCAGACACTTCTGGGGAAGCAGGGGCACCAGGGAAGTGAAAAGAGCTGCCATACTTGTTGCAGGCTTGCATGAGAGCTGCTTCTGTAGCTTCAGAAAAGCTGTGGGGGAAGCAGTGTCCCCTTGTTGCTGTCAGGATGAGGCCAGTGTAGGTGTTGAGGAGGTGAGACGCTCCCTTTCAAGTTGCAGTCAAATTCACATTTTACCCTTAGCACAGCCTCTGCCATTCAGAGTGGCATGTGGGGCACCTGGGCCTGATGGCCCCCCCTATGGAGCTAAATGCAAATGCTCCTCTCCACCTGGTTGCTCTTCTGGTATCCTATCCTTGGGAATAGTGGCCTATGTTCATAGGCACAGAGGATGAGATCCCACTGCTTGACCAGGCTCTGCACTGAGGTATCTCCTCCCGCAAAGGCTGAGCCATGGGTGTAAATACTCCTGCTTCACTCAGTCACAAGATACCGTTGCTCAAGGCCCTTTTGGTACAGGAGTGCATGTGTAGATTGCATCCTCAGGCCCTGAAGCACATGTGTGGCCTTGTTTCCCTTCAGTCAGACGCCTCTACCAAAGAGGTGATTAGAAGCAGTGTAACATCCATCACGCCCCCTCAGGTAGCCCTGACTGGGTAGGCGTTTCGTCTTTATATCAGGGAAGCCATCAACTCCGCCATGGACACAGAGAGATACTCAAGCAGCTAAACCCCATCCTATTCGTCCCTTATCTCTCTGTTCCAGCCTGTGCACCTTTCTCCAGTTCTCTCTTAGGCTGCTAGTTGCTCCACTTGCTGTGTGACTGGGTAATCGGACAGCCTGGCCTTGTCACAGCTGCATTTCCGAATTGGGCAGGAAAGTGCACCGAACCAGGGGGGCCTTTTTGTTCCATCCTGCTGTCTTCTGCTTCCAAGACAAAAGCATGAACGAGCACCTACCATAGCTTGATGTCTGAGCAGTGCCTTGCTCCCCCAGCCAGGGGATCCTGTATGTGAGTGTGCTGTTCTTCAAATGCTTCTCAGTTCAGCCTGGTGCATAACTAGCGTTTCATGCTGCAGCATCTAGCAGTGTTTTCTGCTTTCGTCCGTCTCGAGGGTGACTGCATAATGGCTAAATCATGTTGTTTCTTTCTTCTTTATTTTTAATCCTCCAACTTGCCAGGTCATGGTGGAAAATTCTGACTTCACCCCATCGCAGGTTGGGTGTCTCTTTACCTTCCTTGCTCGGCAGCTCGCCAAGCCCAACAACACGTTGTTTGTGAACAGGACACTTTTTGATCAGGTAAATATTTCGCTGCGTGTGAAATGGAGGCCTCTAGAATGCAGTGCCACAAGTAAACTGCTAGCTGTGCTGTAGGTTGGCTGGATTGCACCAGCTTTTAGATGTTATACAGGCAGTAGGAAACTGGCTGGTGGACTGGAAAAGACATGGAGACCAGGAGCACATAGGTGCTGGATTTTTTAAATGCTTTTTCCGATCTCAGCCTGCCATGATGAAGAGAAACCCATATGATTTGAGAAGAAATTGCTTTATTCTCAAGCCTCTTGAGTTGAAAAGGCAATGTGCAGTTAACATGTTTAGGTTATCTATTTCTTTTATCTCTTAATTTTTTTTCTCTCCCTACCTTTGAGTCTTTCATCATTATGAACTGGTTGACTCCAGCCTGTTTTTTTTTTTACAGGTATTTGTGTGCCTTAGGGTAAAGCACAGGTATGGGGAAGGAGAGAACTGAACAGTTAATCTTGTGGTGTTGATAGTGGTGCCTTTGGCTGGATACGTATTGCACTGTAGAGCACGCAGTGTTGCCAGGCTAAAAGGGATGAGCAGATTAGTTGTGACATGCTTAAATAGACTAATTATAGTGCATACAGGTCTATGTATGTAATGAGTAAATACCTCAGTCCTGTGGGAAGTGTGCTTCTGTAAGGGTAGTCTGTAGCAGTGCCTCTGCTAGGTGTCTGTCTGGATGGAGTTGCTTGTGAGTTACTATACTAGTATCAACACCTGCCAGGTAGGTGAGTGTGTGGCCTGAACTGGGGGTTGCACTGATGGGTGGTGGTTGCTGTGTCTCGAGATCTGAAGAGCCTGGAAGAGAAGGAGGCTGAGCAGACACCCAGCAGGAGATAAGTCATGAGCATGATCTTTTTTTCTCCTTGCTCAGGTCCTTGAATTTCTGTGCAGTCCTGATGATGATTCCCGACACTCTGAGAGACAGCAGGTAACCGCCTGTAGAGGAGCGCTTCAGTGTGGGCAAAAGGCTGACCCACGAAGTGCCAGGAAGAGAGTTAAACCTGGTTAACAAAGACAGGCCTCAGGATGTGTTGAGGGCAGCATCTCAGAGTGGAAGCTGCCAGTATAGGAGCTGTGGTGGTGGAGAAGGACATGGGAGCAGGAAACAGTAGGCAGCACAGAGCAAAAGTACCTGGTGACAACGGCTGCAATGTTAGTTTCTGGTGCCTGAAACCTCCCCCCTTTACCCTGAGAAACAAAGATGCATTGCATGCCTTTCCCCTCTTCCCAGAAGAACCAAAGGTGTCAGGGCTTCTGCAGCATATGTAACATTAATGGAGTTAGCATGGCATCTGCCTTGGTTTTGCTCCTGCCTCTTTCCCCACCCCACCCAAATGCACCTTAGAGGGCTCAGGAGTTCTGCTCATTTATTGCATGATTAACAATGTCAGGTAGAAGGTTTTGTGGCTCATTTGCAAAGTACTTTAATTTGAAGGTGTGCTGTGTTTGGCTTGACCACTCATATGGTTTTTAAGGTCCAGACTCCCAATGGCTCTCATCCTGGGCCTCATTTTACCTCCCCGCTACCCCCCACAAAGGCCTGTTGCATGCAGACATGAGGCAGCAAGCATTGTGCTAAATGGGAAGGGCTCCTGGATCAGTTTTCTAGCTGAATTGGAAGTTGATGTTTAAGGGAAACCTGTTAAGGGACAAGGTTAAAAACAGCTCTTCTGTTTCCTGAGCTCTGGAGCATGATCACTGGATTTACATTGGTTTAACTTAAGTGCACTAGAAATGGATTTAAAATGAAATGAAGCTCTGTAACTGAAGCAAGTGTCCAGACAGAGGTTTTAAACGGAGGCAATTAGCTTGTTATAAAGCTTGTTGAAGATAAACTGATGCAGCTTTTGTGAGCAGCAGAGGCCTGAGATCAGTTACCTTTGATTAATTATTTTTCTGATTTTGTGTCCTGTTTAATTATGATCCCTTTTTCACTTGTTTTAGCAAGTTCTTCTCCTCCGGGGGTTTGATTCTTGTCACCTTTCTTGCAATTAACTTGGCAAGATCCAGGCTGTTTGGTTTCCTCTCCCTCTCAAAATTTTCACACAACTCCATCTTGTGGGGATTCCATGGAAGAGGAGGTCACCCATTCCCTTTCCCTCTCATCCCCTTCTTCTATGCAGAGGAAGAGGGGACATGGCAATAAACGCCACATCTAACACCCCTTCCCCAAGGGAGGTGTAGGAAAGTGCAACCTTGAAACTGGGAGAGGATCAATAAACCAGAGAACTGAAAAAATTAAATGGGGGAACAGCACTCCTGTTTGACTAGGCTGTGAGGTTTTTTGGTGTGGAGAGAGTTGCATTGCTCTGCATGTTTGGGTGTATGTTGGATGACACTAGCTCTGTGGCTTCTAGGTGCTAGCACATTGCTACTAATTGTTATTGAATACCTGCAGGTCCTGTTAGAACTGCTGCAGGCTGGGGGAATAGTACAGTTTGAAGAGAACCGTCTCATCCAAATGGCAGAAAAAGCTGAATTGTAAGCATTTAATTTTTTGTTGTTGTTTTTTTTTTGGGGG